TGCCCAGCTGAGCCGCTGACCCCTGGGAGCTGCGGCCACTCCAGGGAACGGCCCATCCTCTCCCGCCCCACTCAACACAGGCCAGGACTGCAGCGCCCCACCACCCCCAGGGCCAGCTGGTCTTGCTGAGGGCACCCCTCTCATGTGCCCCCCAGGTAGGGCTTCAGGAGAATGACTGGACTCACCCATCTATGGGTCAGTGGCTGCATACGCTGCTGGGAGGCAGGCTCAGGTCCAGGGGACAGGTCCCGGGGCATGACCTGGAAGGTGCATTCCTCTCCTGGCTCCTCGTCCCTCGTCTCCCTCACTTCCTGCCTTCCGTGGGTGAGTGGCTGCCCCCTTCCCATCCTTCCACCATGCTTCCTGCCTTGGACCAGATACCAGGAACTGGACGCTCCAGAGCCGTGAGCCAGAACAAAGCCACCCACATGACAGTACAAGGCGCTGTAATTTGAGGACCGCTGTCCTGTCCAGGTGGGGAGGTGAGAAAGATGCTAACAACAAGGGAGAGACACACAGCAGGGCGTCGTCCATAGCTGGGGACAGAGGGACGTCCAGGGAGACCAGCCCGGGCCTCCCCTCCCCGGAGAAGAGCACGGGGCAGCCGGGGTGGGGGACGTGGACCCGTGGGGTGGGGAGGAGAGGCCGCGGGGGTGGGCAAGCCCTAGCTGCTGCACCGAGAAGTTCCCCACCCCACCGCCATCATGTCTGCACCCCTGAGCTGCACGGAACCCTCACCCCACTTGGAAAGAAGCAAAACGCAGCCTTGGCCCCGAGATGGCGCAGAGGCCGAGGCCGCAGGAACCAGGGCAGCCGCCGGAAGAATTCCGCGTCTCCCTCCTTTCCCCTCCTCCCTCGCAGATTTTAATTAAGGGTGTACTTGCAGAAGACACAGCTCTCCTTAAATCCTTGGACCCCGTTTATACTGTCATGTATACATATATACTGCTCTATGCCGGGGCGCCAGGAAAAAGTTAATTATAACTTCTAATACTCATTAAGGGCTGGCCCCTTCCTCCCTGCCTGACTGCGCGGGCAGTGCTGCTTAATTAACTGCATGGACGTGCACCTCGAAGGCCTGGCCCTGCTGCAGGCTCCGCACGGGGCCAGCGTCCCCTGGGCTCCGAGATGATCAGAGCTTTGCTGCCCTCAGGGCTATGTAGGACCCTGCAGGAGACAGCGAAGCCCTGCAGGCCAGCTCGGACCAGAAGCGGGAGCAACCTGGCAGAGGGGACAGCCTGGCACCGCCAGTCACAGACACGGAGCTTCCTGGCATCCCAGCTCTGGCTCGGGCCCACAGCTCGCGGGCCTGGCTGTCACTCAGGTGCAGCAGACTCCAGCCTGGTGTCCCTGTCTCAGAGAGGAGGACAGGCCACTGCATCCCGGCTGAGGAGGAGCCGGGACCAGGACCACCAGCGGGTTCTCAAAGCCGGCCCGGCTTTCCAGCTCGTTACCACCGAAAACTCGCCCACGGCCGTCTTCAAGCTGCTCACCGGGCCAGTTATAAACTGAGTCCAGCACCGTGAGTCTATTCGGGAGATCAACGGCCAACCTGAGCCCTAGAGGGGCGCTGTCACCCTCACCCAGCCCCCTCCAGGGACCCAGACGGGCAAAGTGCAGGCACCGCTCAGCCACGCCCAGGGCAGCTGCACCCCCCGGCCAGGTGCCCAGCCTGTTCTCCTGCTGCCCAGCTCTCTTTCATGTCCTGCAGCCCCTCCCGTCCGCCAGAGGTGGCCCTGGACAGTGCTCTTAAATGCTTTCCTCGAGACCCGCACAGGGGTGGGGCGCAGTGACCGAGTTTCCAATGTGGGTCCTTCTCAGGGCAGGCCCCAGGCACAGAGAGGGCTCTCAGAGAGCTTCAGAGCAGCGGCCGATGACCCAGGACCAGCCCGAGGCCTGGCGCTGTCCCCCACCCAGGGGAGGCCAAGGAGTCCTCAGGCCGGGCCCACAGTGCTAAGAGAAATCAATCAGACCCTGAAAATAAAGAGCGTGTGGTTTCCCTGACCTGAGAACCCCAAAACCTAAATGAGGACTATAATGAAGGCCAGAGGGTGGGAAACAGAGTTAGACCCGTGGGGGATGGACAGGGGGACCGGGAAGGCAGGGGCTGGGGGGGACTGAAGATCATCGAGGTACAGACAAGCCCCAGTCCCCGGACTGAACGGAAGCATTGCACGTCACAAATACCAGTAAAAAGGAACAAGGGGTTTGCCTTTTTGGTTTTTTGTTTGTTTTTGTTCTTTTTTTTTTTTTTGATTTTTGACAAACCAGAACAATACACACTCCCTTTAGGAAATCAGGGAACAATGGGGAAAAATCATAAAGCAGAAAATAATTTCCCACGCTCCCCCAACCCAGACAGCAATTCCAGAACACTCTGCCTCCTCCGCCCTGGCCGCCTTCACCTCCTGCAGTCCAGGGCAGTTTTAGAAAACTCTGCCAAGTCTGGCCCCTGCTGCCCTCCCCAAAGCCACCCCAAGTCCCACACCTGGTCCTCAGGGCTGGCCACCCAGCTCCCCCCTATCCGGCCGGCCTCCTCCATCACACCCCGTGTCCCCCCTCTGCAGATACCTGTCACTCCCTCGAAGGGCTCTTACTATTTTTTTTTCCCAATACTGAGCACTGAACACTGAGCTACAGTCCAGCCCTCTTTCAGTTTTTTGTTTTGCTTTGTTTTGTCTTGTTTCATGGCAAGATCTCACCAGCTACCTCAGCTTCCCGAGTAAGATGAAGCCTGCAAGCCTCCTGCCTCAGCCTACCCCCACCAAGGGGAGCCCTCGCCCTCGGCTTGAAAATGCCAATTCCAGGAGCAGTAATAACACTTGCACAGCGCTCCACAGTTTACAAAATTTGATTTTCCTTTCCATTCCCTGAGGAAATAATCTGTTAGCAACACAAGAGAAATCTAACCACTTGGGGCTTTTCGTTTTTGTTTTTTGGTTTTGGGGGTTTTTTGGTACCAGTAATCAAACTCAGGACCTTATACTTGCCAGACAGGGTTAGATATGCCCCCAACCCCTGACCACTTGTGTTTAAAATGAGGCCACACACGTCCAGAGAAGTCATGTGCTGCCATGGTCACCCAGGCAGGAAACAGACTGGGGGTGTCAGGTCCCAGGGGCACAGTCCACACCCTCACCCTCAGCACAAAAGTGGAGGCGCAGGGAGAAGACGGCGAGAGCACGTAAGTCCTGCAGCCCGGCCCGAGCGCCAGCTCTGCCCCTAAGGAACGAGCCGTGTCCTTCAGCTAGCTTGTCCACTCCTCTGGTGAACAAGAGGGTCTTCTACCCACAAAGCGGAGCAGTGATGGCTCCTACCTCATCCAGCATCAGAGAAACCACACACAGGGGTCCAGAACAGGGCCTGGCACGTACTAAGCACTCAGTAAACACTAGCACAGCACACAAGGCAGATTCCCTGACCACCACAGCCACATCTCAGCTGTGACTGCTGAGCCGGGAGCGCAGAGTCGCTGGCCCGGAAGGTGTCTCTAGTCTGCACAGATCTCCTCAAAATCAGCCACCAGGGCACTTCTACCAAGCACTGCTGTTTCTGCTCTTTCTCAAGAGCAGATTCCTCCTCATCAACCCAGAGAAGGGTGGCCCCCTTGGTCCCCTCGTCCCCTCAAGGGACAGCCCTGACCTCTGCAAACCTTCAAGGCAGCAGACACAGAACCTGAGAGAGGCCAGGGGAGGCGCTGTACCACCCTGCAGGGTCACTTCTGCACCATAACGACAGAGCGGAACAGGACACAACCTGACCACTGCGCAGGAGGCAGGAGGAAGGGCCTCCTCCCCGAGGCGGAGCTGCTGCTGAGAGGCGGGAAGAGACCTCCCTAAGGCTAACTTCCTAACTGCTGGGTCTGCCAGGCTGCAGCCCCCTGGTTCCGTCACCAGAGTCACAGTCAGGCCACTGCCACCATGCGCCCCTAAGCCCCCTTTTGTTCCAAGCAGGGCATGTAATTGCTCCATTCCAGGTGAAAACTGCCACCTCTGCCATCACCTTCCCGAGAACTCTTGGTCTCACGCCCACAGCCCAGGACTCCAGTCATGTAGGTTCATTCATTTGCTCCATTTTGACGGGAGCCCACTGTGGCCAATTTTCCTCCACTCGAAGGGGAATGCAAACATGAACCACTGCAACCAGCTGCCGCCAACCTGGACAAGGCAGAGGCGGGCGGGTTTCCGTCCTGTAAAGACTGCCGACCCAGCCACACAGGCGCTCTACACATTCTGAGACCCACAGCAGGCAGATAAGGAGCCGGACTAGGCCAAGGGTCCCTGCGAGGGGACAGCAGAGTGCAGAGCCAGAGACAGCAGAGCCGGGTGAGTCCCGCAGGAGCCCTCGCCCACCCCAGCCTCGCACACTGCCCCGTGCACCACAGTCCCGTAAGGCCCTGGGTTAGCATTTCCCACTTCAAAAATCAATATTCAAAGCACAGAAACCAGCCAAGGATAAGGCCTTGCTTGTAAATATTTGTTTCCGCTGGCAAAGCCCGGCCTCGGCTGCTCAGGCTGCCCCCCAACCCCGGGCTCTGGGGCCTCTCCACAGCAGCAGGACAGGGAGTGAGGCGGCTACAGACAGCAGGGAGGACGGTCAGCCCTGCCCGCCGTCTCCACCCTAGCAGGCCTGGTCACTGGGCCGCCCAGGGGCCATTCACCTGTCCCCCCAGACATGCACAAAGACACCTCTCCCGAGGGACGTGCTTGGAAATCATTGCCCACTGTCAGCCACCTAGCAGGACAGTGTTCTGCTGCCCACGCCAACAGCTGCCCATGGGAGGAGCCACACCAGTCCCCAGGGGTACAGAGGCCAGGTGTCCCCTTAAGGGGTGACTCAGCTGGTACCAGTACGTACAGCCAGGTCCTGGCCCTGGAGTGATCCACACCCTGGTCCATCCATCCATCATCAGCTCCTGGCCCTCCCTGAGCAGGGCAGGCACGGTAACAGCTGGGCAGGGGCGGGCAGGGCAGCTGGAGAGGCCACCGGCCGGGACCTACCCAGCCACTCGTTGAATTTCTTCACCTCGCTTGGGAGCCCCAGCTCCGTGAAGTCCCCAGCATGGATCAGCACGTCGCCGTAGGGCATCTGGATGGGGTCTGTCCTCGAGTGGGTATCGGACACACAGACGAAGCGCGTGTAGCCGGGTGGTTTGGGGGCGTCGTGCGGCACCGGATCCACCCTGTGGAGAGAGGAGACAGGAGGGCTCGCGGGGTGCTGCAGGGCCCAGAGCTTTCGGGGTGAGCAGTTCCCAGCCCCATCAACCCAGCTCTGGTCCAATCAGACATGGACCCAGCCCCCAGCCTGCCAGAGCACCCACGAGGTCTGGAACAGACTCTCAGTCACAAGCCAGGAAGAAGGTTTTTGTCCCTGAGCCTCAGGTCACTCCTGTGCAGCATGGGAGCCTCTGAGGACTTTGGTGAAGGTCAAAGGTCGTGAGTGACTCCCCGGTTCCCGGGCCCATGTGCAGCTGGCTTCACTGTGACCTGCTCCAGACCAAAGCTATATCTCCCAACTTTCTGGTGATCACCATCTAATCCTGTGCAATTTTAACACCACCGAGAGGCTGTACATCCGTCCACAAACTGTCTGTCTATCCTTCAGACAGAAAGGACAGATTTTTTCAGCCATTTTTGCCGCTGGGGGGCGCTATTGCACCCACTGAGGATGCAGTGACCATCTTCTGAGGATGCATCCACTGCATCCATTGAGGATGCAGAGAAGTCCCAGGTCAGTAAAGAGCTGTCCGCAGTACAGAGCAGAGCCGACCGCAGGACAGCTGTGTGGGAAAGGAGGGATTCTCAGGAAGCCACATAAGGCGGGCACTCAAAGCCCCAAGGCGATTTTTCTAAGCTTCGAGGTGGTGTGATCATCCTCCCACCAGGAGCCTTCCAGGCTGGGGAAGACAGAGCCCCGGGCCTCCTCTCCCAGCTCTGCCACCCATCGCTCAGGCCAGACCTTAAGCAACACTTTACAGGTTTGCTCGGCTGTAAAACAGAGCTCCCTCCCCAGGCCAAAACACTCAGAAATACCAAGAGCAGCCAGAATGGAAGTCTCCGTGCCTGGGAGCCCGTGGTGGCCTCCTAGATTACAGACGAGAACTCTGGGGGTCCCTGGGCCTGAGCATGGACGGGCTGAGGACCCAGCCCCCCTCCCTGGCCAGGGCTATTCCCACCCCACCCCCCGCACCCCGCCTCCCCAGCGGAACAACTCTGCCAGGCTCCCAACGCTTGAAAACAACCGATGACATTTCCACAAGCAGGCTCTCCTCTCTGAAGGAGCCTGCCACTCAGGAGTTGTGCTTAAATCTAATTATGCGCCAAACCAAAAGCAGCTCCATATCACTTACATAAATACTTTTAAAGACATCTTTCTAATTATCCTTTTTTTTCAGACAATATATTTCGAAGAAATTTAATTAACACCTTAGGAGAGATGTGGGTCCCGCATGCTAATGTGCAGGGCTGCGTCCTCCTGCAGGATGGAGGCATGCGGAGGTGCCCTGCAGGCCTCGCCCGGGCCGAGGTCACAGAGGGAGGATGCGTCCAAGGCCCCCTAGAGTCCCAGCGAGGCAGACTGGGGGCCTCCTGCTGCCCAGCGTACCTGTGATGACAGCCAGGAAGGCAAGAGGGCTCTTCCTTATCTGTCTCCCCCCTCCCTTCCTTCCTTCCGGATTGCTGCTGTGCCAAGCCAGCGAGGCCACAGGGATGCACTGGGTTTCGTCACCACCTGCCAGATGCTCTCGGTGAATGGCAGAGACACACTCGGTCAGCCAGTGACCACAGAGTCACCAGCTGTGACAGCATCAGAAGGGCCGGTGGCCTAAGCTGGTCAGGGTCCTCCCGGCAGCTTCCAGCAGGAGGGCAGTCCCTTCCCTGTGCTTTGCTGCCTCCCCTCTGTCCTCTAGGACCCCAGCACCAGCTCTCCAGGACAAACAGCTTGCAGGTAGCTGACCACGACACCTGTGCACCCTTCCTGTCCAGTTAGCCAATTGGACCAAGCAGCCAATCGCTACTAGGCTATCAGCCTGGCCAGGAACTGGAGTGAGCCAATCAAATCCACCCATTCATATCCACCCCCCCCAACCTTCTGGAGATCCTCAAAGTGCAACGACCAAGTCAAAAACACCAGGACATGAATAATGTCACCCCAGGCCACCTCGCTCCGGTCTGGCAGCCTCCAAAATGCCCGCGGAACACAGGACCCTGTGCGCCCAGCTCAGCCCACCGCCAGGCAGCCTGGGCTCTCCAAGCAGGGCCTGCTGCAGCAGAGAAGCTCTTTAATTAACTCTCCTTATTTCCCTGTACCCCGAGGCTTCCGCACAGAGAAGACAGGAGCCCAGCAATCCCTAGAGGAAAACATAAAGACTCATTTCCTGCTCGATCCTCCGGCTATTTGGATTGTACAACCGCTCAACTGCCATAATAACAGCGGGTGGGAGGGGCTCTGCACATCACTTAGGATTCCACGCTCAGCACTTCACCTGGACTGGTTCTTTTTGCCTCCCTGGGGACCCCTAAGCAGCATGACCCCTAAATGACATCCCCATTTTACAGAGGAGAAAAACTGAGGCTTGGAAAAGTTTGATGTACCCACCGTCTCAGGCATTGAAGTTAGGCAAGCTAAAATTGAAATCTTAAGCTCGTTTTGGTTCCAGAATTCTCAGCAGGATGGGGCATTTCTGGGACCTACTTCATTTCTTTCCATCAGTCTACAGCCAGATGCTTAGACAGGGCCCCTAAATGTCAGGCACCTGCTAGTCTGAAGGATGCAAGAGGGGGTCACCCACAGAGGCCTCCGGCCAGGAGCTCCCAGCGCCCATGCCTGTGTTTAGAAATGGGGAAGAAGTTAGGAAAATAAACAATATGCAAAAAAAATCTAGGAGAAGGCACGGCTGCACTCCTAGATCCAGCTGTACCTGAGGCCAGACCCAAACCTGAACTCCTCAGCCACACACATCAGCTGAATAACCTCCTTTTCTCCCGAAAGCAACTGAAACTGTGTTCCGACACCTGAAGTAGCACAACCCCAGCTAACAGCTGACTCCAGACAGCCCTGAGGACTCAGCAACTGAGACCTGGGAAAGTCAGTCCCATGCCCCAGGTCCGGGATCCTAAGCTAAAGGATTTGAACCCAGGTCTGCACAACTGGGCATCTAACCTCAACCCCTTCCTGTGACAGTGGAAAAACTGGTTCTTGCCCAGTGACATCCTACCAGGTACGACACCAGAGCACAGAAACAAAGGTTTTCTCTTTCTTGGAGCCAAACCAGAGTGCCCAAGGCTCCTGCCTCCTGGGGTGACTCCGAGACCCTAAAGCCAGTGCCAGCTGTGTCCAACCGAGCGTGATCCTCCCCCAGGCATGGGGGGGAGGCAGGGGGGTGCAGAATAGAGGACCTGGCCCCCGTGCCCAGCGTCACCATGGGTTGGTGACCTCTTTGCTGTGCCCCGGACCTTCCCGGGCACTGACGCGGCTCTGCAGGGTGGGATAAGCCATTCACTGTCCAGGGCTTGGTGACAGTCTAACTGTCCGTCCCAGCTCAGAGCGCTGATGCCGACACCCGCAGAGTGCCCCTCCCTACCACAGCTCTCTGTTCCCCTAAGTCACCGGCTCCCTGGCAGCACGGTCCTGGTACCAAACACCCCCTTGGGCCCCGGAAGCAGAAACTGTTGGTCCCCGAGACCCCCACACTCTTCCCCGACTGCTCCTCTCCTTCCCTGTTCTCTGCTGGGCTCAGGGCAGAGGTGCCTGGGAAATGGGACCGATTCTCACACCACTCGGGGGGCTCTGAGCCCCTCCAGCTGGGGTGGGAGTGGAGGGGGGGAGCACTGCTCCCGCAGTGGGGCCTTAGGAGTGTGGAGGTGGAAAGGCAGAGGGACCAGCATGGGAGGATGTGGGGACCCAGGCGTGCCCGGGCTGGCATCAGTGCCCAGCAAGACCTAGCAGCAGGGCCGGGACGCAGCTCCGAGGTGAGCTCACCTAGCATGTTCCAGGCCCTGAGTCTCATGCTCAGTGCTAAGACCATCACAGCCCAAAGGGCCCAGAGGGTCTGAAAGGGGTGGCCGGGGTCTCCCCGTCGCTCCTCCTGAGGTCCGCAGGGAGGAGATGCACACCGCCAGGGAGACCCTGTCCCTCTACACTCTCGCCTTGTTGGTGACCACCAGGCCTTCCCTGAGCAGCCCGGGCACCCGGAGGTCTCCAGCCTCAGGCCCCCAACCCAGAAGCCTGTTGTGCAGGCTCTCGGGCAACTACAGAATCCACACGGCTCAGTCTGAAGCCACATTTGTACTCTCACTGCTGCTTTATTAAATGTAAATCGTGAATTCATTCAATAAGGCCCCCTCACCCTTGGGGACAAAGCCCGGGGCGGCAGTAAACCCCACATCAGGAAGTGGCATCGTCCTCCTGCCTTCCCCCACCAACAGAGGCTCGCCATGGAAACCCACGCTGCCACCTCCAGCAGCCCGCACGTGTCCCCTGATGAAGGGAAAGGCATCTGCATGGAGGGGTGAGAGGCAACAGCCCCCCAAGGCCCTCTGTGCAAAGCTGGGGTTCAAAGCCAGAATCTGGAGCACGCTGCCTTCCTGCCAAGAGAAGTGGGGGCCCTCACTCCCTGGGGACCTTGTCACACAGAGAGCAGGGGGAGAGGTCAGGACCAGGGGGACGAGAGCCACTAAGTTTTTTCTCCGCCACACTGATCACTACTAGGGCCGTGGGCCTGCAGGACACCTCTGCCACCTGTCTGCCATCGGCCTGGAACGCAAACCCTGCGTGGGAAGATGTCTGTCCTCCACCCTGCAGGGTCCCGAGCACCGAGCCCGGTCTGTGAGCCGCTCACAAATGTCCCGAATGAATGAATGATGCATGTATGCATGCATGACCTCCAGTGCTCTTTGGTCAGGTGAGGGAGGTCACCTTCCCCCTCGGTCACTGCCTCGCTGCCCTTCGTCGGGACACAGCCTGACCCTCCGGCCCTGTGCTGTCTCCTGCAGGTTCCCACACGCCCTTCTCCCTGGGCTCCCCCGCTGCCCCTTCTGCCTGGCCCCGTCCTCCTCACCCCCGTCGGCTGCTCCTCCTCCACCTCGGGGTCTCAAGCCTGGCTTCTCCAGAAGGGCTCTTCTACATAGTGCTTCTTATCTCTGGGTTGAGGGGACCCCCAGAGATGCTGGCGACCTCAAGCCGGCTTGGCTAGAGAACTAAGTCACCCCCAAAGGGGAGAACCCAGCCCCAGCGAGGCTCCCCACTGCAGCCACCCTGCTAGGCTCACTATCCCAGGACTAAGGAGTAGCATGGCTGAGACCCAGGCCTCCGTTCCACCCTCAGCCACTAACCTGGTCCCCAAAAGAAAATCAAAGGCAGCTGCTCCAATGGAAGCTTTCCCCAAGAATGCAGCAGGCAGCTTCAGCCACAGGGGCCCTGCAGCCACGCTGCTGGGGCGCGGGGAGTGATCCGGGGTGCTAACAGCCACCTCAGGCCCTGATGAGTAGCCCCCCAGCACCCACCTTTAGCAGAAGCTAGGCCTGGGACAAGCCCTACAGAGTTGGGGATCCCCCCAGCTCCCTCTCTAAGTAGCAGCTTACCTAGTGTCACAGGACAGCAGTCTGCACCCCTATGGGTCATGGTCAGCACTGGACATCCCATCCTGTCACAGCTCTGACCTCCCCTGGAGAGTCATGGGTCTCTCCCCTACCCTGGGGTTCACCTGTGACTTCCACCTAGCACTGGCCAGGTACTCATGCAAACCCACAAAACTAAGCAAAGGACAGAACTCTTGGGAAGACATTCCCAGCACGGGACTCTGGGGGTGCTGAGTGTGGATGGAGCCCTGGACTCGGGCTGGGCCACCTGGGCTCCAGGGCAGCTCTGGCCAGCTGTAAGGGGTGACAGGAGGGGGCAAAAGGGTGGCCAGGGGCTCACCTACCTCCCCCTGTGCCGCCTGCCCTCCTGGGACCTCCGAGTCCTCCATGAAGGGCCTCAGGCCGGGGAACAAGCTAAACCTGTGCTGTCCCAATCGCCCCAAAGCCTCACGGCCAGGCACCCTGGTGTCTCCATCAGAGCTCCAGGGAGCAGCGGGGCTCCCTAGACCTTCAGGCAGAGCCTCTCCAATTCCCCAGAACACAGGAGGCAGGACTGAGGGGGGCAGGGGTCAGCTGTGCCAAGACAAGTCCCTTCGCCATCTGAGACTCAGTCTCCCCTTCTAGATAAACCGGACCAGGCGACAGGAACCACAAAGGGCAGGAGGGGTGGCACGCCAGACACCCCGAGGATGTGCAAACAGGCATACAGCAGGGCCGCGTCACCACCACGGCCCCCCCAGCCATCAATCAGCAACTTCCCGCCCGTCCTGGACCGCGGAACCTCCAGCCCACAAGCCCAGAGGACCCGCTGACGTGGCACGGGAGTGCCCAAGCCACCGGTGTCTGTCACCGCCCACCCCAGCCCGGGCCCTGTCACTTACATCTGCACGTGCGGCGGCTGGAAGCGGCCCTGGTTGATGTTGTAGAAGGTGAAGGCCTGCGTGGGGTTGGAGCTGTACTCGTCCACCTCGATCAGCAGCCGGCTGTGCTGGTGCCGCCGCGCGGCCATCACGTGGGACTGCGAGAAGGCCATGCCCAGGCCGCAGGGCAGCAGGGCCAGGGCCTCGGCCTTCAGGACGCCGGCATCCCACCTAGAGCGCCACATGGACCTCGGCGGGCCGCCCGGGCATCTCCTGCCGCCGCCGCCGCCGCCACCGCCGCCCGGCCCCCGCCAGACCTGCAAACAGACTGCGGAGATGGAGCAGAACCGGGCGACAGTTAATCTGTTTGGGATTTGCTTTATTTAATGTCAGATGAAGATTTAGGAAGAGGGAGGGGGAGAGAGAAAAAAACACAGTCGTACAGCTCAAAAACTCATTACACATCTTTCCAACTCAGCAGTTTGATGAATATACTTTGGTAAAAGGAGAAAAGAAGGAAGGGCGGGGACAAGGAAAAGGGGAAAAAGAAAGAAAGAAAGAGAGAAAAAGCCAGTCCGCAGCGCAGGACCGAGGCTTGCAGGGCGGAACATGTTCAAATACTTGGCATGTTTGTGTTTTCCTCCGACAAAATCCCTTCCATCTCCAGGCTGACCCTGAGCGGACCAGACAATGGCTGGTATTTTGTAAACAGGGAAGTTAAATTAGACTTTTCAGGATGGGGAGACAGGAAGGAGCCCCTCTGCAGCCCCGGGGTTCCCACCGCCCTCAGGCCCCCCACGGCCCTGCGCCGGCAAGCCCGGGCAGGTGAAATTCCTTCTCGGCATCGGTGCTGCCTAAAGACATCTCGGGGCACCGGGAAGGGGTTTCCCCAGAGCCAGCGCCACCCTGTCCTGGGCTCAGGGGACCGTGGTGGCCGAGGGACGCGGGATGGACCGTAAAAACTGTCCCGCATGCAAGGTCCCCTCTCCCATCAGGATCTGGGGAATTCTGATGTTCCCGGTCCATCCCAACGCCACACTGTTACAGTGCAGCTTGAGGGTCATTTTGAAACAATTTTTTTCTTCCACTGGAAACTGCAGTTTGTATTTCCTGGACCACAGTCCCGGCAGATCCTAGCCCAGCCACGGAGCATCTTGGACACACAGGCCCGGCGAGACCGGATGCTGTGTGTAACCAACACTATTGATTTTTCTCCTTCATTTTCATATTTTTTTTAACCGTGTTAGTAAGAAATGCTTGAAGATTTCTTTTTTTAGTTGTTGTGTTCAATGTTTGGTTATTAAGGATCCGCCCCCCACAACGGATTCCACTTGCACTGTATTTAACCAAGGAGAAAATAATGTAATTTGAATTATTCCTGGACAGTTGTACCCCCGTCACGTTATGGGAAGGAAAATTCTCTGTGCTCTGTTCGTGGAAGAAGAACTGACACACTCAGAAAACAAATTAGATTAGGAAAATGACAAAAATTAGGGACTGGAGAATGTTTTAATTATGTGCAAAGGAGAAATGGGTTATTAATTTTTTAAAACCTCGATCATCCCCACACAAGTAAAGCTAAAACAGAGACATCTTCCTCCTCCACCCTGTGTCCCCCCCAAAATGCATCCATGTACTCCCCCAGGTGCACCTGTCCATGCCCTCGCTCTCCGGGTTTCTAAGTGGATCTGCCCTCCTGACCTGGCCTGTCTGTGCCTGCTGAGGGCACCAAAAAGCCCAGGAAGGGCCCACAGGGACACCCAGGTCCAGGGCTCCGCCCGCTCAGAGCCGGCCTGCCTGGACCAGAGCCCTAACATCGCATTGACCTGCTGTGTGACATAAGCCCAACATCCTAACCTCTCTGAGCCTCCGCTTCCTCATCTGGAAAATGGGTCTCATGACAGTAATGCCACCTCCTCAGTGTGGGGGACGAGGTGAGGAAAGGGGAATCCAGAGTTATAGGCAGACACTGAGTACCAGGCTAACATACTCCCTGGGGCCACCATGACCATTCGCACTGAGTTCAGGGCGCCCCTACTGGTGCTGCCAGATACCGGGGAGCTGGGACAGGATGTGTCCAGGGGAGTGGAACTGCCTGGCAGGGCCTGAGAACTCGTCTCCCTCCCTGTGACACCCAGGCCCCTGGATCCCAGCCCTGCCGCCCTGCACTCCATTGGGCGGCCCCGTCCTCCTCTCCCACTGACCCGGGGACACGTTCCATGGTCCCATGAAAAGCCAGGGTGTCCCCAGGGATTGGGCCCGGGTCGCCCTTAGCTTGGTGACCCTGGGCAATTCGCATGACCCCTGGGCACTGCTATCTTCACAGCTGCAGCAAATCGTGGTCCCACACTCACAGAGTCAAGACGAACAGAGGCAGCCACCGTGCACGGCTGGCCACAAAGCCCAGCACACGGGAGGCCCTCAGGAAACCGCACTCACCAGCCCCCCATCGGCCTCGCCCCAACCCCACGGATGGAGGGATGAAGACAGAGGACGGATGGACGGAGGGAGGGCGGACAGACGGACGGGCGCAGGATGCTGGCCAGACTCTCCCTAGCACCCAGCACGAAGCTGGCAGCCGCTGAGTGCCCAGCGGGCTCAGCTCAAGCCTGAGGAGCCCTCAGCCCTCCCTCGATACCCATCGCCGCCTGGGGCTGGCCAGGCAGGGCACAGCCTGGTAAGAGCGAGGCACAGGGGCTCCGCCAGCCCGCCCCCCACACCCCCAGCGGAAGAGGCAGGTGGCACCTCGAGGCGCTGCTTCTGCAGTGGCACAATGCTGCGTTTCACATAAAGGGGGTTCGCAACGGGCCCTGCTTGGAGAAACCGGGAGCCTGGGAGCGCAGAGCTTTCTTTTAATGCCCATTTAATATTTATGGAGCTGCCGCAGCCCGGCAGCCATGGAACGCAGCACAGCGCGAGCCTCCTCCGCCTCGAGGCGGTCCACGGCGGGAGCCGCGTTCCCAGCGAGCCGCTGCAGCCGGGAGGCGTCCACACCTGCAGCACAAAACTGCACTGCAGGCCACACTGGGGCCCGCCGTGGGGACACTGCCTGGCTCCCGGCCCGGCAGAGTGACCTTGAGTGCATGGCACTGTCCGTGGGCACGGCCAGCGCCTCCTCTGTGTACCCGGGAGGAGGAAGGAAGGAGGTGTCACAAGCCACACGCGGGTGCTGCCCTCCATGCCCGAAACGGTGGCAGAGCCAAGCGGTCCCTTGGGGAAAGGAGTAACTCCCCAGAGACAGAGAGGGACTGGGGTAGTGACCAGCACCTGGAAAAAGTCAGAGCTGGGTGGTGGGGTATGCAGTGACGGGGGTGCTCAAACTGCCGGATCAGAGAGGCCCAGCTGCACAGGTGACAGCCACACAGGTGGGAAAGATGACAGGAAGCAGGCGGGGGACAGAACTGAGGCAGAGGGAACGGCAAGTGCAAAGGCCCGGTGGCAGCCACAGCACTGACAGCAGCCTCGCCTTTGCTGCTATGTTATCAAGGTCTGCCCTGTGCTTCCGGGAAGAGAGCCCGGACTCTGATGTCACAGGAGCCGGGGTTCAAATCAGGCTCAGCGGCTGCTGTGCTGAGCTTCAGGGCGGGTCACATAAGCTCTCCTCATTCGTGTTCTCACGGGCCTCTTCGTGGGCTAACAGGGCTGGAAGGAGTCTGCTCCGGGCTCTCCCAGCCCAGCAGGAATTGAAAACCCTCTCCCCTCGTGCAGGCCCTGTCCACCCCCGGGTCCCTCGTCCTTCTCTCAGAGCTGGGGTTGGACCCAGCACTGTGGCACTGAGCTACAGCCTCAGCCCTGCTTATTCTCGAGCAGTGTCTCACTGAGTCTTATTTATCCAGGCTGGGCTCAAACCTGTGATCCTCCTGCCTCAGCCTCCCAGAGTGCCGGCATTACAGGCCTGCCCTGCCGACCCAGCAGCTTACCCTTTACCCCAGTGGCCTCTGCCCTCCCTCCACCGCATCTCTGGGTTGGCCCTCTGGTGCCAGGTGTCCACTCAGGCCCAGGCACCCAAGAGGGCACCAGAGTGTACCCAAGACAGGGGTATATGCAACATGGATGTCTAGGAAAGAGGCCCAACTCCAGGCCCCACCCTCCTGTCTGGGTGCTGCTGGCTTGGCTTGGTCACCAGGGCCACATCCCATCAACCCCAGGAGAAGTGTCCTAAATTCCCTACGTCCATCTAGTGCCTCGGACACCGGCCTCCTCAGGGCACCCCCTCACTCCCAGGCCAAGGAGCCCTGTGCGGGGACCCCACGAGGGCTGAGCCCCTGGCCTGGAAGGCCCCTCGCAGCACCCAGCCCCATGGTCGCCCTCCATTTCCCAGCTCACACCCATCTGGACCCAAGACAGCTCGGGGTCTTGGGGACACCATCCCCAGCCTGCCCGGCTGAGTCAGGCATCTTCACCCCCACACAGAGGGCTCCCCAAGCACGCTCTCAGTGCAGGCTCGAGTCTGCAGCTGAGCTGAGAAGCCAAAGATCGAAATGATGAATGAATAAATGAATTAGGAATGAGTGAAAAACATGGATGAAGCTGTCCAGGCCTCTGATGCTGACAGCCCGGATGTAAAGGTGCCTCTCGGGGAGTATGCACAGCACACAGCTGAGGGCCGAGCACACAGTAGGTGCTCATTAAATGTCTCTTCCACCGCGGCTGGAAGGTTCTGTGGAACCCAGAAGTTCGGTATCAACTTCCAAGGCTCTATTAGAGATTTTCCAGCAGCCCCTGAGGCTCCCTGCCAGCCCGGGGGACCCCAAGTCCCTCTCCCCCCTCCCATTCCTGCTGAGTCGTGGTGGGCTTGCTCACCAGGGCACTGTGACTTTTCTAGGCACTGCAGGGCACCGGACAGCCACTGCTGACCTGACTATGCGATGTCCCTCCGTGGGGCCATGTGACCCGGATGTGAAACCAGCCCTCCGAGGTATTAGCAGACCTCCTGGAGTCCCTGTGAGGACGCTGGTGGGGGAGTGTGGCCCCCACTGTGAGCCTGGGCTCAGGAGGGGGGTGACCAAGAGGCACCCAGGCTCACAGAGAACACTCCAACAGCAGGCGGGGAAATGCACCGGAGACGTCCAGGTGGCTCCAGCGACCGGACCCGGCGTGAAAGCTCTGCGCTCACAGCACCGGCTGCAGAATCTCAGACAGGGGCAGCTGGCTCTGCTGCCTGGCGCTGGTCTCTGGCAGCCAGCGTGGGCCAGGCATGACCCGGTGCCTGGTTATCACATCCCCTCAGGCTCTCAGAAGTGCTGTGGCTCAGAAGGCGAAGGTCACTCTGACCAAAGCCAAAGCGAGGTGCTCACGGTCATCACCCCCAAAAGCCATCAGTGTTTCTCTCCTGCATGAGCTGGCGAGGTTTTAGCAATCCCTGGAGGGCGAGGACAGTCTCATGGTATCCTGAGTCCAGAGCTCAGGGGGAAACAATGACCACACGGGGGTGGCTGTCTGATTAAACACGGGAAGTCACAGAGCCTTCTGGGCTGCAGCTTTCCGAGAGCCCAGCACTTGGGAAGCTGCTGCCAGGAGGCCGGCCCCCCTCCGATCCGCCTCCTCTGCAGCCCGAACGGCAGGCAGGGTCAGCCCGGTGTCCACCTGGTTACCTTCGGGCTAGGGCTCAGAGCAAAGCCAAGCAGCACCAGCTCAGAGAGCCACTGCTTACAGAGAGGGACTTGTCACCATGTGGCAAAATGTCACAGAAAGGCCAGGCTGATCCCCGCTGCCTGGCGTCCCCCCACCACACACACACACACACACACACACCCCACCCCGGCAAAAATGCAGGGGATTACATTTCATAGAAAAGCACCAAGGGCTCGGGGTTTGGGGAAACAATTCCTTTATGAGCCTTGTTCCCTGCACAAGCTCCAAAATCACTTTTAAATTATGTTTTCTTTGCTCGATTTGCCTGGGCCAAAAATTATGCGACTGATGAGCTGAAAGTCTCATAAAGGGTAAAAAAAGAATTTCAAAGTAAAATAAACAGAAGAACTCAAAGGAAAAGAAAAGAAGCAAACAGCTCAAAGGAGGAATAAAATCTAATCCAGTCCCCCAATGTCCTAAGGTCCTGGAGTCTGGCGACTGACCTCCCTCCCGAAGCCACCAGGGGGCTTCCACGGAGACAACTGTGGCCGGCCACTGGCAGGAGTGGTTCCGTGGAACGAGCGGATGAGACAGAGCAGCAGAAGGGGTTCCACAAGTTCAGGGAGAACCAGCCCCTCTTCCTTGAGAAACGCTCAACCGCAAGTCACTTTAAAGCATTTACCACTTAAAAGCCTTTTAGCCGGCCCATTTTGAATTATGACTCTGTGATTTTAAATTACGCTAATCCCTCCACACCGCCCCGTCCCCCGCAGTGCCAAGGTTTCATTTTCCAATTCCGTACTGTGATTTCAGGTGATGGAGGGTGCTACCCTGGATCATGTCCCGCCTGCCACAAACAGCCGCTCACTTATTCCCTTATTTTAGAGGCCAAGGCAGTCGGTTCACCGGCTCGGCTTCAGATTCCAAACGTGCTCGCTTGCCACTGCAGAGCCGCAGGCAGGAGGCGCCCAGAAGCCCAGAAGCTCGGGCGAAGCAGTGAGCCTGCACCCCGAGCCCCGCTCCACACGCAGTAATAATTCTCGGTGTTGCTGGCTCCATCCAACAGGCCGGCAATCACATAAATAACAGCGGGTGGACTGATTTTCTCCTGCAAAGTGCTATGTCCCAGTTTTCAAAATAACGCCGGGGGCGGAGACTCTCAGCATCCACCGGGTTAGTCTTGGATGGGGCGCAGGCTTGCCCCGCAGACTGCCCCACTCGAGGGGAAGTGAGGGGGAACTGGGTCCCAGCCAGTGCTCCACACCCCCCTACCCGCTCACCCCGTCAGCCCACACTCAGCAGCCACGGGGTGGGGACAGAGGTGGCTGGAGACCGGGAGAGCAGGACGGGCTCCGGGGCTCTAAGTGCAAATTCAATTTGCAAAGAAAGCCAACCTGGATTCCCAGCTCCTGTGGAAATCTATGAAACAGATATCACAGGAGCCCGGTCAGCTCAGCACTAGGATAATTCTCCCCTTCGGGCTGCCTTTGGGCTCTGGCCACGTTTATAATCAGCTCAAGTATATTGTTTTTGGTGGACACAAGGAATTCGCAATTAAAGATTAAACCTCCAAAGGATGCTTAATTAACTAATATGCCTGAATGACAAACTTACAAAAGCAGAACTTTTCCAGTCCCTGCCCTCACTGTCCGTGCACAATGCAAGGGGAGGCGACGGGAGCCTTTTCCGCACGCACGGAAACCCCAGCCAGAGCTTCCCTAGGAGGGGAGCAGGACGAGGGGCAGGGCTCTGAGGTTCTCAGGTAGTCGGCTGCTCGGTGCCATCTATTTTGCAGCCCTGCAGGCTGCAATGCTGCGTGGAAAATGCACAACGGTGAAATGGAACCGACAAGCGTGCAGGACCAAAGGCAGGCATGGCCTTCTCCCTAAAGTGCTGGGATTAGCCCGGGCAAGGCCAAAGGGACAGGGCACACGCCAGGAATAAACTTCCAGGTGCAGACGCAGGTGGTGGAGGGGAAACGGACGCACACCTGGCTCTGAACCCGACGTTCCAATCCACCAGAGGGGAGACTGTTTTTCTGTTTCTTTTTCTCTCTCTCTCTCTTTCTCTCTCTTTTTTTAACGCAGTCGATTCGGTTCCTAACGAATGATTGGGTTCTGACACCACGCTGCCTGAGCTCACAGCCAAGAAAACTCTCCGAACAGCAATTCACAGAAAGGCACAGAAAGACCCAGGGACACGGCCAGCCACTCTGAGTCCAAAATGAATACACACGGTCTCCACGCATTCAAGGTCGCTTTATGAGACTGGGCCTCCACGTCAGCCATTAGTATTTTAGTGGAAATTAGAACACTACTAAATCTTTTCTCATTATCGGGGAAGCAAGTCAAAAGTAAGTAAAGTATTTGTGTTGGCTGAAGATTGGTGGGGTCACCAGGGAGAGCGCAGTGAATTAAACTAATGGGGAGCCCTAACTTTCATCTGATGCCTCCCCCAATGAGGAGCTTATTTATTTCCCCTCCTCCTTTTCCCTGGTTGTTTTTTTATACTTAGCTCACCTCTGCAGACACACACAATTCTAGCAGCAGTCTGGAGAGGACACTGGGTGACGGTTACACGGCGTGGGCCAGTCACACACAGGAACCACAGTTACAGAGAATGGTCTTCTGGCCATGATGGCTGGCAAAAGATGCGTCTGCCCTTAGAGGATGAGGACCAGAAGGAAGACGCCACCAGGGGCCAGTGTCTCATCCGTGGGGGCACAGCATACCTGGGAACCCACTTCCAAGTCACTGCAGCTGGGGAGCCCTGTCCCCCAGGTCTTCTGCTCCTAGATACAGACAGACAAAAGTACCCGCTGTCACATGGAAAGCTCTCCGGGGAGCAAAGAATGGAAAAGGGGGGGATGCCTGCAGAGACCCTTTTTTTTTGTTCCCGGCGAGGGTGGGGCGATGGGCGAGACATGCCACATTGTCACTAAAGATTCTGACAGACAACCCAGGGATTACGCGGAAATTCCACCCTTCACTACAGCTCCTGCCACTTGAAAGGCATCAACTAACCTCCACTAATTGCGTTTTTCTTCCCTGAGCCTGATATTTAGTTGTTAAAGTCTCTGCCTGGCCGATTCATCTCTTCTGCCCGGCCATTCACGCTCCGTTCACAGGACCAAGATCGGAGAAGGGGAGCCATCCTGATAAATTAAAAGATGACTGCATTTTGGGCTAGATTCTCTGTTTCTTCCCCAAGTCCAGAACTTGTATCCAAAATGCTGATTTTTCTCCACGGATACTCCCCTTCCATGAAATCCAGCACCCACCCTTCATTCCTCCAAGGAGTAAAGAGAGATGTTCCCTATATGGGGGGGGGTACATGAAGGACCCCCGCTGCCTGGCAGGGCAGGCGCCAAGTTCAGGAGAGCATAAAGAGCCTTAGTCACTCTGGTCTCGTGTGTCTGATCTACTTGGGGCACCAGGGAAAATACCTCAAAATTCCCACCTTTCACCTAAACCCAGTTCTGATTTTATTGGTCCACAAACGCAGCCCAAAGGGCATCAGCCACAGTGGGCAGGACGGGTCCTAAATGCACACACAGTGTGACACCCAAGGGCCTCATCTCCGTGCAGGTGACACATCAGCACTACAGGGGCCTAATTCCATCCAGGTCTTCCAAAATTCCTGGGACGGCAGAGGAAGCGGAAGCAGCCCCAGACCAAACCACTTGGGAGCACTGGACGAAGCCCTGGTGCCCGGCTCGCCGCTGTCCGTGTCGGCCAACAAATGCAGCTCCACCGAGGCAACACTCGAAGAGCTGTAACCATTCCACCGAAATCCATCTTGAGAAAAAAGATTTTACAAGTGTTGAGGGGCTGCCACTCGGAAAGCCAATTTGCAGGGAGCTGGGCGTCGGGAAGCGGTTTATTATGCGTGGCTCCCACACAGCCGTCCCCTGTAGACTGCGTCTCGCTCCAGACTGTTCCAAAGCTCTGGTGTGTTCTCCCCTACCTCAGCCCAGCCAAACGCACAAGCACCCTGTCCAAACGGCCTCCTGTGGACCAAGGCCTGACCTCCAGCTGGGATGGTGAGCTCAGCCACTGGGCTCTTCGGGAGGGAGCAGCCAAGCAGCAGCGTGAGAGGTCACTTGGGAAGTTGGTTGGATTTCTCCGCCCTTCAGCAGAGGCCAATCAGGTGCCCAGGGCGTTAGAGTCCAGCTGCCCGCCACACACATCCACACACTGCAGCAGATCCCTGATAAGGAGTCCCTGGCACCATTCTGCTGTCCAGCCAGCTCCCCCATTCACTTTTGCTCCCCGGTTTAATTTCCTAATTGTCTTCCACTTAACAAGCCCTCCACCCGGCCATTCAGCAGAACCAGGGAGGCAGAGATAGCCAAGCTCTCCCATGGGTGCTGGGAGAGAGGCCAGCCCAGCTCCAGGGAAGAAACACCCCAAAAGGTCAGCTGCAAGAGGTGGGGAGGGACGGGGTGCTCCTCTCCCCACTGGATCACCCAGACAGTAGATCCTGAACCCCAAGGCTGACCTGCCTCTTGGGCACAGCAGTGTCCCCTCCGTTCCTATCCAGACCCAGGGAGAAGCCACTGTGCGTGAATCTCTCTGCCATGAAGTCCCAGAATCAATACACAAGAGACCCAGCGGCTCCTTAGCACGGGCAGTCCGTGAAATGCTGCCTCTGAGGCCTGGGACTTGTCTGGTTAGTCACTGAATCCCCAGCTGGGGACACGGCAGACAGCAGTAAATACGTGTTGAATGAATGAGCGGGTGGGCGGGTGGATGGATGGATGGATGGATGGACGGAGGGAAATGGACGAAGTTTCCAGCAATGGCCAGCAATAGCAAAAGTAGCCACTAGCCCAGCATTCCCCCCATCCCGCCTAGTGCTTGCAGAGGCTTTGGGGGTGCCCAGCGGGCTCCCCGCCGCCCGCGGCTGCTATTGTTACCACGGGCATCACCACTCGCACCCCACCGGCCCACATCTCCACCGGCCACTCCGCCAGCAGCCAGCAGCGCCCGGCGAGCGGGCGAAAAGTTTCGCTGACCTCGCGGCCCCAGCCCGAGTCCGGTGCCCCGGCTGAGCCCCCTCCCGGCCGGTACCCGCTCGGCAGGCAGCCCGGCGCGGGGGTGCTCGGCCCGGCCGCCCGCACCCCGCAAAGGCGGCCGAAGTAACTTTGCGGACGCCCTGCGCAGCGCCCGGGCGTCACCCCGCGCCCGGAGAGGGTCCGGGCCGCGCCCCCCCGCCCGCGCCCGCGCCCGCGCCCCGGCCCGGCCCGGCCCGGCCCGCCCTACCTGGCCCGGCTCCTCTCCGCGGCCGCGAGCAGCCGCGCGCACCGAGGCGGGCAGGGGCCGGCTCCGCCAGGCAGGCGCACAGGGCGGGGGCTCCTCCGAGGCGGCTGCAAGTGGGAGCCAGACTCCTCCTCCGGGGGGCGGGGGGCCCGCGCCCCCTCCCCGCCCCCGCCCGCCCGCCGCGGCTGCGCCTCCCGCCCCGCCTCCCCGCCGCCCGCCCGCGAGCTCCAGCCGCGCAGGGCCGGAGGCAGCCGGCCAGGGCCGGGCCGGGCCGGGCCGGGGAGGGCGCGCGGCGGCGGGCGCGGGGGAGGAGCGCGGCCCGCGCTGCGGAAGGAGGCGGCCGCCCGCCCCGGCTCGCCCTCGCCGCCCGCCCGGCCCGGCCCCGCGGCTGGATCCCGGCTCGGCGGGGCGCGCTCACCTCGCGATCGGCCGCCGCCGCCCGGGCTCCGCGTGCAGGGCGCGCGCGGCTCCTTCCGGGGCGCCGCGTCCCCTCCCAGAGCCACCCGGGCACCCTGGCCCGCCCCTGCCGCCCGGCGGGCGCCGGGACCAGCCCCGCAGCCTCGCAGGTCCCCGCTGAAGCACCCGGGGTGCCCCTCCTGACGCCCAGGTCTGCCCCGAGGGCCCCATCCCGTGCGCAGTACGTGGCCGGCAGCTGCCTGAGAGTGGGCCAGGTAAGCAAGGCAGGGCGCGGGGACCCAGCCCCTGCTTGGCCGGAGGCCCTGCCCCGGGGGAGAACGGAGCACCCTGAGCCCAGAGTGTCACCCCGGAGTCTGGGAGGCTCTGCGGCCCTCCACCCCTGGTGCGGATGGGGAGGGCCACCTCCAGGGCCTCGGGTCGCAGGTCGCCTTGGCCTGCACCCCCAGGATTGAGAGAGAGGTCGGAAGGGACAGTCGCCAGCAGAGGCCCAGCTAAGGCCTCTGCTCCCAACCCACTCAGGCATCCCAGCGGGGCTCCGTCAGGACGTCAGACGTGGTCAGAGGTGGTCCCCAAGACGCCCCCGAGAGCACACTTCAGAGAGGCCAATACGCTGAGGGAGGCAGAGGAGGCCGCAGGTGCAGAAGGGGAGGGGAGCAGGGTCTGATGTGACCCCCTGGAGGAGGAGACCCCGCTGCAGGAGAAGGGGTGCTCTAGGAGGAGGGAACCCCACGCCTTTAGGATAGGGAGTTCTGTGCCCTCAGAGAGGAGGGAGAAGTGAGGAGCCCTGGGAGGTTTGAGCTGGAGTGGGACTCAGTCAGGTCATCCTTTGAGAGCTTGCTCTGGCGTCCTGGGGAAGGGAGCCGTCCGGGCTGGGAAGGGGGCAGACACTTCTGCCTCCTTGTCTTTGTACTCCATTTTTCTGGTCCCATGCTCTGCAGAGCACCCCAAATTCTCCCTAGGAGCACCTTTCTCTCCCAAGGCTGCAGGCTGCATGAGCATCACAACCTTGAAGGAGTTGATGGGGGAAAGGCTGGCCTTGGTGTTCCTGGGTGCCTGTCAAGGACAAAGCTGGACCCTGGACCCTGGCCTTTGACATCCCAAAAGACATGATTATTCTTCTGGTCCCTGGGATGACAGCAGAGAATTTCCTGTGACTCTAATCCTCCAAGGCTGGCTTCATCTCCACCTTGGTTCTAAGCAGAACTCCCCTCAGCTCCCAGGCGCCATCTCTTGCCACCCCCTGGATATGCATTTATTAAGCACCTCCTGTATGCCTGGCGCTCCACGACCGTTGGACCAGAGCATGAGTCCCCCCACCTGCTGTTACTTATACTTTCCAGTTCCAGGCAATGAATGCAGAGCCTTAGGGTCCCCAAACTTCCCCTGGTCCAGGCTGCACCCCAGAGGTCAGACTCCTGGGAGTCCACTGCTGTATCCACAGGCTCGGGAGATACCCAGTGGCTGGCTCCGAAAGACTAGGGAATGAGTGTGCAGGACAGACCCGCTCCTAAAAGAGCAACCGATCTGGCAACCACAGCAGACATGCTGCTTTGGGGAAAATTTAATAACAGTGGCACTCGTTGGTGGAGGCGAACAGAAACATTGCACGGTCCCACACTGCTCAGCCAGCCGGGTGGCTCGCCCGGCTGGGAAGCGTTTCCCAGGCGCCCACTGTGTGCCGCAGGCCAGGGTTAGAGCCAGCGTCACAGCCCAGGGTGGCTCCGAGGCACGGTGTGTGGGACTTTACAGCAAGGGTAAGCAAGAGAGGGGAGCCCAGCCGGTGCCAAGGCCTTCTAAAATCACAGGTGCCCAGGTAGCCCGTCACGTGGCCCAGATGCGATGGCTGGGAAAATGATGTCCGCTCTCTGACCATGTCTAAGGCGCGTGAGAGGCTTACGCCAGAGGTCGGGCATAAAAACTAGAGAGGGAAGAAAGGAGGGAATGCCAGGAAGGAAGCACAGATGAACATCAGACTCGCTGATGATGATGGGTGTGGTTGTGTTTGGGGTTTTTTTAATTTGTTTTTGCTTTTTGAGACAGGGTCTCTACGAAGTTCAGGCTGGCCTTGAGCTCACTTTGGAGCCCAGGCTGGTTTCAAACTTGCAACGATCCTCCTGCCTTAGCCTCCTGAGTGCTGGGATGACAGGTGTGCGCCACCACACCTGGCTTCAGTTTTTTTTTATGGGACTACTTTTCTCCAATTTTACTGTGATGATCAGAAACAGAGTGAAGAATGGAGAGTGGGGGCTTTCTGGAAGGGTTAGGAGCAGGATACGTGGCCCATATCGGGCAGGGGCTGGAGGCGCAAGCAAGGCCTAGGCCGGAGGGCTTCTGTTGCCACGCCCACAGTGGGCCGGCCCACATGGCCTTGAGTCCTCTTGGGTGACCGGTCTGCAGATGGCATGCCACGTGCGCTGTGCCAGGCCCCGACAATCACCCTAGCAGAGGCATTCAGGGGAGGCACAAATCAGCGGAGGAGGGGGGATGGGAGGGGCTCCCAGGAGGAGGGCACCCAAGATGGGGTTTTGGGGACTGAGCCTGGTTTCCGGTCCCCAGCTCTGCCCCTTAGATCTTTCCAAAGCCTCCGTCTAGAGATCCTGACATAGTCCAAAGGCTGGGGGTCTCCATTGCGGGTCCTGGACCCTTCTATAAGCCCAATCCAAATGGTCCCAGGCCTGGCCACCGGGTGCTGCCTCTGTCACATGTGGCTGTGACTCTGAACGTCGGCCTCTCCTTCTGTACAGTTGATGTATGGAGTGACCTCTGGCTCGAGGTCACTGTTGGCATCCAGTGAATCATCAACTGTCAATAGCAAATTCAGGACCCAGATTCCAGCCCAGTTCTATCCCTGACTTACTTAGGATTTCGGGACCCAGGCCTGTTTCTCTGGGCCTCGGTTTCCCCATCTTGAAAGGTGACGTAGCAACTCACTCCCGGACTCGCTCACAGATGGCCGATGGTGGGGAGAGGCCTCAGGAGCCCCCTCCTCCTGCTCCTCCCCGGGCTGCAGTTCCAGCCCGGCTGGTGTCCAGGCACACTTCCCCGTATAACGCCAGGCCAGTCACCCAGGAGAGGCTGAAGGGAGGCCCAGCCAGACAGGGCAGCCCCCTACACCTCCCAGCCCCAGACAACTGTACCTGCCCTCCCTGCCTCGGGTCCCACTCCGGCTCCAGCTGCCCTGGGCTGCCAGGACTGGGCCTCGGCTTGTTGCATACTGCCTGCGAGCACTTTATAGTGTCAGGGAATCTTTCCGGGTGCTTTATATCTGAGACCTCACACAGGCGACCTTCCCTGCAAAGGGAGACCACACAGAGGGAAAAAAATGATTGGTGGGGGAGGGGAGACAAGAAGCCTCAGTTTACAAATCGCAAACCTCAAGGAGCCAGAGGTTTTAGGACCTGCCCAGCTGGTGTACAGGAAAGGTGGGGCCGGAGGGCCAGGTTCAGAGCCAGGACATGCGCCGTGCCCTCCCCCAGCTCCAGGGCAGTGCCTCCCAGCTGGCAAAGGCTCCCAGTGCATCTCAAATCCCGGGGTGCCTGATACCCAGCTGGCCAGGCTCCCAGCGGCCCAGTGAGCTGTCCAGGGTCCTGGCCAGGCCCAGTGCCGCCCCACAGCCTTCTGGGATCTTTCCTGGCTCCCAAGGCCTGGTGCAGCCCGGAGGGTCCGTGGTCAAGTTTATAGGTGTCTCTCTGAGCCCATTCTGCTGGGCCAGGCTCAGCCAGGGCCCTGGGGCACTGTGAGCTGGGCCTGCTCTAGAGCAAGGACAGTGCAGGACGTGGGAACAAACTAACAGTGACCCTGCACCGCACAGCAGTGAGAGATCCAGGCTGGACACAGACCTCCCGTCTTGCCTGAGGGCAGAAGAGGGGGCCCCAGGGGATCCCATGACAAGAATGAAAAAAGGTGTGGGCTGGAGTCAGAGATGTGGGGATGATGCAGGGTCCGGGCCAGGCAGGGACAGAAGGAGGGCAAGAGACCCCAGAGACGCCCTATGGCCTCCAAGACCATAGCTAGGACAACAGGTGCTGACCCTAGCCGAGCACTGTCTGGCCCCAGACTGCCCTGTGCCTGTGAACTGTATCTCCCACTCCCCACTCTTGTCCCTACTGCTGCTCGGTGTGGGACCAAGGACACGAGAGTGACGCAGTCACAGGAGCTGCCTGGTCCAGGACCGGCCACCATGGTGCCACCTCTGAAAGGCCAGCTGCCCGCAGCAGGTGCTGACGGGGTCATGTGACTGGGGTCCAGGGTGACGCTGGAGACCCCTGTGGGCAAGGAGGCCTCGGAAAAGGCTCCTGGGCCGGGGCTGGGACAGGAGAGAGGATGCCCAGCACTGGACACCCGGGGCCCCAGACTGATGCCCTGCCCCATACAGAGAGGCCTCTTTGGGGCTGGACACAGGCCTGGGCCTGGAGTCGGAGCATGAAGGCAGCAGACAGCAGTTCTGGGGTGGGCACAGCCCCCTCCCGGGCACTGGCTCCAAGAACAGTGATAATCTCCACGCCTGCCTCCCACTCTCACCCCTGTGTCCCACAGCACCCCAAGTCCTGTCCACCAGCCCAGTCCCTCCGCCCGGCCTCCACTTCTGATGGCCCCGCCCAGCGGTGGGGCTGCCCCTCCCCTGCCTGGGGCCCTTACTGGCTTCCCACTGCTCTGCAGCTTATGTCCTGTTGAAGGATACACCACCTGCCCAGGCCACCAACCCCTCCTGCTGTGCCGGGGACAGCTGCTGCTCAGCCCATGGCCAGCAGTGGGGTCTAGTCTGCACCAGGGGCAGCCAGGCAGGCCTAGATAGTGCAGCCCGGGCCTCCTGCAGCAGAGACACCATCCAGAGCCCTGTTCACCCACTCCCCCCACACACACACCCTTCCCCTGGGAGAGGTGTGCACAGCCTGCGGAGTCACAGGCCCTGGCCTGCCACGTGTCCCATGCGAGGTGCAGGAGCTCTTGCCTCACCTGCAAAATGAGAGCAAAGACACCTACCTTGCATGATTGTGCTGGCAGACAGGACAAGGACTCTGTGACTGCCAGCCAGCACCGTGCACAGAGGACCCAGGTGTACACTGAGCAAGAAAGAACCCACTGTCGTGTGTCCTGCTGGGTATGGCAGCCATTGACACCCTCGTCAGAATCATCAGCCAGAGCTGGGAGGGACCTCAGGGTTCTTATGCTCCATGACACCTTATTCCCCCCTGCACAAAGAGGGAAACTGAGGCCTAGATTGAGGAAGAAACGGAGAGAGAATACTCAGTCCCCAAGCCAGGGGGAAGAATAAATGACTCCTGAGATCAGAGCACGGGGCACAGAGCTGAAAGGGAGACAGCCGTGTTCTCTCGCCCAGATTATCAGTGGCCCACCAGTAGCAGCCCAGAGGCCCCAGGTACGCCGAACCAGCTCGTTTGTGTGTGTGTGTGTTTGTTTCTTGTCTTTTTGACATAGGATCTCGATACCCACAGTTCAGGCAGGCCTTGTGCTCACTTGAGAGCCCAGGCTGCTGTTGAACATGGAACGATCCTCCTGCCTCGGCCTCCTGCCTCGGCCTCCGAGTGCTGGGATTACAGGAATGTGCCACTGTGCCCTGTTGTTGTTGTTGTTTAGGTTTTTTTTAGTGTTTTCAGCAATGCCACACCTCTCAGATGAGAGCCGGGGTCAGAGTCATGGAGAGCGTGCACAAAGCACACACTGCACCCCGCCAAACCCCCATAATCCGACCTCCCCACACAGCGAGGGGGAGAAGTGCACGCACGGCCCAGTGCCCGGCCTTCACCCCATGGGACATACACCACGCACTCAGCCTCCCCTACCCTGCCCCATTCTGCATACACCCCTGCCTGGGTCCCTTGAGCTGGCACTGCCCGCAGATCACGGCTTTGCCCCTCCTCACCCCACGAAAGGTAGCACAACCATCCCCAGGGTGCTAGTGACGGACACACTGGGCCTGGAGGGAGGACGTGCCCCAGGCAGCTCCTGAGGTCCAGGGCAGGGCTGGAGTGGCACCCTCTATGACACTGCTCTGTCCCCTGGCTCTAGGGCTGCTGCTGCCTGGACCAGAAGGCAGAACCCAGGCAAGGGCCACAGGGAAACTGCCCAGGCTGGGCTGTGCGAGTGTAGCTCAGTGGTAGAGCACTTGCCAAGGAAGTTCGAGGTGCTGAGTTCCAGTCTCCAGCACTGCCAGGAATAATAGTAATGAAACCAAGAAACCACAGGCACCATTGCCTGTGGGCGCATGGCAGACAGCACCAGTGGATCCCAGTGCTCTCTTGTGCTCTCCTGGGATACAGCGTGAGAATCTGCACAGGCTCCCGGCAGCCACTTGAGGGGCCTTGGGAAGGGTGCCCATGGGTCACTCCTGGCTAAATCTGGGTTCTCTGGGAGCTTTTGTTCCTTTCTTTCTTGCAATGCTGGGGCTCAAATTCAGAGCCTCGTGCATGCTGGGCAAATGCCCCACCCCCAGCCCCCAGCCCTCTTCCCTCTGGTATTATTCAGCAGGAGCAAACCCACGAGCTGGGCTATCCTCTCAGAGCCAGAGGACCTTTGAGAACCTCAGCATAGAGCTGTGTAGCAAGCCACACCCAGGCCAGGCCTGAGGTTAAGAGTCTGGAGCCCTAAAAACTCACTGCCAAGCCAGTGTCTCCCCTGAATGACCCGCTGAGCTCAACCCACCACAGAAACTCGCCCAAGCCCAAGCCCCAAGCTGCAGCCCTTCTGAAAGCTTCCTGCCCCTCTGCCCACACAGGGCTCCACTCTACATCCTCAGGGGCTCCTGCGACACCTGCATTTACAAGGTGTGGCCAGAAGTACAGTGAAGGTCACACCATGTTTAAATGTACTACAATGAGACACACTGCCCTGAATCCCACTCGTCCCGCGGTGCTGGCCGCTTCCGAAGCAGTTCGGGAGGTGCTCTTCCGTGAGTGTCTCTAGTTGCACTGTCGTGGCCGCCTGAGGTTCTCACCTGATTCACAACTTGGACCTTTCGTGGTCATTTTGACTTTGGGGAGGAACCAGGCGTCCCCGGTTTTGGATCTGGTGAATAGGCCAGGCAAGGACACTTGGGGCCCAGCTGCGGCTGCTCTGTGTGGTTTTTTTTTTTTTTTTTTGTTCACATGCTCAGGATGCTTGGGAACAAGGACCTCAGAGTTGCTTCAAATGCCGAGCTGGCTGGCCTGAGCGCCTCGGAAGCGAGAGGGAGGAACCTGAGGGGTATTCACGACGACGCCTGTTACCGAATCAATATTTTTAAATGTCCACATTCACCGTCTATTTGATCACACTGCAGAAACCTGCCTCTGTCCCACCCACATCACCAGCAGTTTCTCTTCCACCTTCCCAGCCACGTCTCCTAAAGCAGGGGTCCCAGGCCCCCAGAACCTGGCCCCTGACCCGTCAGGAACCAGGTCGCACAGCGGGATCAGGGCTTCCCGTGTTCAGGGCCGCTGAGCTCGGCCTGCGGGCAGGGGAGCAGCCGCGCATGCGCGCTCCTGTGAGTCCGGAAAACATCCCCAGGCCCTGTCCCAGCCTGGAAAGACCGTCTTCCGTGAAATCAGTCCCTGGTGCCAAAGGTTGGAGACTGCTGTCCTGTGGCAGCCGTGTACTCCCTCCCTAGTGCTTCCCAGCCTCCTTGGGCCACAGCTGGGTCACCCATAGCACCCTGGTTCCAGGACAGTTGACATGGCCCTCATTCTGCTCCTCTCTGGCCACACAGGCTGCGCCCTTGCACTCAGGACACAATCCAGGCTCCTAGCTGTGGCCCTCGGATCTCCTGTTCTGGTCCCCGAGCCCCAGCCCAGCCCCATGCCTTGCTCCTCCACCCTAAGGTCAGGTACACTGACCACCGTCCCCACCAGCTCTGGCCATTGCTTATCTGGATGATGCACTGGACATTGTGCCAGCCTCCAGCAACCACCTGTCCTGCCTCTAAAACTGTCTATTGAACACTCACTGTGTTCAATATCTGCTTTGCTGTCACTGGAACAGAATATTTGACACCCACAATGGAAAGGAGCGAGGTCTAATTTGGCTCACAGTTTGGGGAGTTCAGTCCATGGTTGGCCAGCTCCAAGGCAGAAACAGCATGGTGCAAGAGTGGGGAAGGGAAAAAACTACTCATGTCATGGCCGCCAGGAAGGAGAGAGAAAAGGGAGAAGCTGGGGACAAGAACACCTCCTTCCTGGTCATGTCCTCAGTGGCCACCTCCAAGCAGGCCCCCTCCTTCACAGCACAGTCAGCCACGAGCCCAGCCATGGATGAATCCACGATGACAGCAGCAGGCTCTTGATGCAGTCACCTCCCAAAGCCCCACATCTGAGACTTCTGAGGGATGTTTTACACCTACTGTGTGTCACACACTGCTCAGAGCGCTGGGGACCCAGCACTGAATGGTGGCAAAGCTACTACTGTCCCGGGATGTGGCTTGGCTGGATGTGACTCAGAGAGGCCACATGACCTCACGGGTGCACACAGGCAGGACACAGCCTCCCCCTCCTGCTCACTATCCCCAGGGCCTCCCCCGTGATTCACCTACCAAGAACCCCGCCCACCCCACCCCCCACCCTTGGGGCTTCCTGCTCTTCCCTGGCAGCACCCCCATCCCCCAGCACCCAGCTACCAGCCTGGCTGCTGCCTCTCTGGAACAGTGCCCTCTGCGGGAAAGCTCCTCAGGCTAGGGCCAGGGTGCTTGCAGGGCACCCACCGATGCCCAGCCCATGGCCTGGGTGAGCCTTTAACAGCCATGGAGCTGGGGGCAGAGCATGGGATTTCCTCTGACTCACTCTCATCTACTTGCCTGAGCTGCCATGTGGCATGGGCACCGGCTGGCTCTTCATATGCTGCACGTGGCCCCTGATGGCTCCAATTCTGATTCTGAGTCCCCAGGGACAGCTGAGGGCTGGGTGGACAAACGTCAGCCACAGAGATGCAGTGGTTCACGGTACTCTGCCCGTGGCCTGGGCAGGGAGGAAGGATGAGGCGAGGGGTCACCAGGCCAGGGTTGCCACCGGCCAAGCCCCCTTTCTGCCTCTGAGCCTTCACTTCCTCTCTGCTAGGACCAATTCTGGTTCTTCATGTTTGGACCCGAGCCCACAGGCCCTTCCCACCGCCCCCCACCAAGGGCTGTCGGGGTAGGGGCCCTCACTGTCTGCCACTTAGGGCTTCGATGGGGAAACGCAGGCAGCCCCAGAACAGACAGTGCCAAGTGGGGCAGCTGGGCGGTGACCCCTGGAGGGGAACCTGTACGCCATGGCCTCAGCCCGCAGCAAGGGGAAAGAGCTGCGGGGCTGGAACCACAGCAGAAGAGCCGGACGATGAACTCCAAGAAAAGAAGAGGACGTAAGAAGGGGAGCCAGGTAGGGCAGTGCACGCCTGGAATCGCCCCAGCACTGTGGGAGGCTGAGTCAGGAGCATGGAAGGTTCAAGAAAGCCTGGGCAAGCCAACCTAATGGGTTAGCAAGACCCTATCTCAAAAAAGAAAAATAAAAACAGGTCTGGAGATGAGGCTCAGTGCAAAGGTGCTGGGTAACACGGCCCGGGTAACACAGGCACGCGCCTACAGAAGAGATGACTGAGGTGATCTCTCCAGACTCCTGGATCTGTCTTGCTGCTGTGGAATCACAAGCAAGAATCTCATTGGGTGGAACTTGGGTCACGTGTCCAGGCTGGACCAATCATCTCATGCAGGGGCGGAAGTAACACACGATAAATAAAACTCCCGCCCTTCCCAGTGTCCCCTAGTGGAGCTCCTGTTCCCCCGGAATCAGACTGAACTCAGAGGACGGGAAGTGAGGAGCCCGAGTCTTACTGGGGGAGAGACGGCCCCTGTCCCTAACAGGAGGGGACCCAGAAAGCAGGCTGCCAGGACCCCACTCTCAGGGGAAGCTTTGTAGAGCAAAATGATGAGGCAGGTACAGCGTGGGACAGAACCACATCAACCAATCAGATCAGGAGCTCAGCCGCCCGCGTGACGCCGATTGGGTGGGGTACGGGGGTGGGGCGTGCTTGGGGGAGGTGACATCGGCCTGGAATACCGATCCTCAGTGGAGGTGTGATCCTTGCAGCTTCATCCTGAGGCCTCGGGCAGAGGCACCCCCAGCCACAGCCACGCGGAGTCCTGGGCCTCTGCCCTGATTCCTCCTGGCCCCGCGTGGCTGCCTAGAATATTCCTACCGGTAGAATCACATAAGGCACTGCTAGCCCGGCCAGCGGGCACGGGGCGGCAGTATACACTAGGAGCTTAATTAATGTCCACGTGGCTAAAGCCTCACTGATCGAACTCACGCATGGTAGGAAAGATGCCGGTTCCCACTCACGAGCCTTCTGCCTCTGTCCTGCGCACTCCTTTCCAAAGCCCCGGCCACAGTGTTTGCCGATTGCCATGATGTAGACACCTGCCCTGCAGCAGGCTCATACCACCGAGCTGTGGGCACAGCAGCAAGAGCCGTGTTCATGCAACGTCATCAGCTAATCGCCACCGAAGGTCCCTAGACCCCGTTTCCTTTCCCACCGCCCACCCCTGCTCCCTCTCCTCAGCCACCAGACACCCTCCCATCACTCCAGCCACAAGTCTCGGCCTCACCACCACACCAGCAGTGTGCATGCCTCAGGGCCTTTGCACTTGCTGTGTGTGCTCTTCAGAAAACCACTCTGGCCACCTTCAGATCGCCACCCTCTACCCTCCCCTGCCTCTCCTGGTTTTCAGGGGACTCAAAGGTGTGACACACACACTTGTGCATCTGTGCACAGATTTGTGGTCACCATGCCTCCCCAGAGGTTCCTATACTGATGGTGACCTCGTCCACTAAGTGCTGCCATGTCCCCCAGCACATAGTGGGTGCCCGTCCCACCTGACAGCCCCACTGGGCACCCAGCCCCACCCCTGCTGGCTTGCCCTCAGCAGCGCTCCCTGGCAGAGCCCCCCTGGCACGGCCCCTCCGCCCGGCCTCCTCTCCTCCTCCTCTGGGAGGAAAGGCGCCGGCCCATTGTGCGGCCCTGTTGACACGGGGATGACCTCACCGGGCCCCAAGGGTGGGGGCGCCGGGCCAGGTTGGGAACGGCTGCGAGGCTGAGGCCCAGGACAAAGGCCGGAGGCCAGTGTGAGGCGGAGACAAGGGCGCTTTTCATGAGGGGAATAATTGCAGGAGGGTTAATCCCTAGGAGAGGTCCCCAGGACGCCAGGGGACAGGGGCCGCCCGGTGCTGGAGGGGATTTGGGGGGCCGGGGCCTGCGGCTCCCTAGCCCTGCATTTGCATCTTTGTTCTTGTCCATGAAATGGGCAGAGTCAGCACCGGGCAGAGCTTGGGACCCTGGCGGGGGCTGAGCCAGGCATCGGGCAGGGAGCGCTCAGCAGGGCTCCGTGTGAGCATCTCCCTGCCCTGCCGGCTTCCGGCTGCCACCAACCAGGGCTCAGCAGGGCCCTGGCTGAGCCTGGCACTGCTTCTGCCGCCTGCTCAGGCTGGTGGGCCTGGGAGTCCCAAGCTGTCACACATCAGCCCAGGGGCCACGGTGCCTGAATGGGTCTGTGTGCCCCCACCCCCGTCCAACCCAAGGAGAAGAGAGCCGGGTCTGCTCTTCCCTGGGCAGGGGACAATCACTGGAACAGGGCAGCTTCCGATGGAGGCGACAGCCCCTGCAAACCTGGAGAAGCCCAGGCTGAAGGGGACAGAGCAGGGTCACACCACACAGGACCATGGGTGACAGCCAGGCCTTCCAGTGCCTGTGCACCAATCGCTGGTTTTCCACCCAAAATTCTGTCAGTGCTGTGTCGTCTTCAGGGCCAGCAGTCCCCGGATGCAAGCGCCTCTGCTACCCCCGCCCCTCGGCCTGGCTCCTACCAAGTGTGACCTCTAGTTGGGGTGCAGCACGGGTAGAGAATTTCTAGCATGCTGGGTTCCACTCCCAGCTCCTCAAGGAAAAAATTGAATACTGGCATTGCTATTTCCTTCCCCAAAGAGGAGAATGGGGATCCCTCCTGAGCTTCCTGGGGGACATTTGCACTGAGGATTTTGTCCCCTGCCAGTGTCCAGCCAGGCCTCAGCGCATCATGCCTCCAGACCTGGGGGCTTCCCCTTGGCCGTGGGTCTCAGCCCCCAGCAATTTCCCAGAGGCAGGCACCCAAGCCAGGTAGCAAGGTTCGCTTCTCTCACCAACCCAAGTGAAGAGTTTCCGGGGCAGGTCCAAAGGGAAGAGGACAGGGGCCGGGCTGACTCCTGCTGGGCGAGAACCCTCCTACCCCGAGGATGGGGTGCAGGGCAGGGCCCAGTGGCCCGGAGGCCAGAGTGCACCCTCGTCTGAAGTGGGCCTGGTCCGGGGTGAGCAAAGATCCTCAGCAGCTACGAGGGCAAGTCCAGGCAAGACCTGGGGACACGGGCTGGGACACCCCACCAGCACAGAGCCGAAGCTCCTGGGGTGGTGTCTCCTCTGCCTGGCCTTCGTCACCCCTGCGGTGGGCATGGGACAGGGACACAAGGGGCCAGGACCTCACTGCAAGAGCCAGGAGTCCTATCCGGCCAGGGAACTCACTCCCTTCCAGAGGGACAGCCACCCGTGTGGCAGACACAGGCAAGGGGGCGAATCCGACCCGCACCTGCTTGGCTGAAAGCGCTCTGTCCCCGGGGGGCTTCTGGTGACAGTGCAGACCCTCTTCCACACCTCTTGGCTAGGTGACCTCAGCCAAGACCCTTAAACCGAGACCCGGCACAGCCAGGCTTCGGACTGTGGGCTAATCCGAGTATCTAAACCTCTCCACAGTCAGACGAGTAACAATCTACAGGCTCTAATACCAGCAGTCGGGGAGGCTGGGGCAGGAGGATCACAAGTGTGACCCCAACCTGGGTCACATAGTAATGTAGCAAGGTCACATTTTAGAATTTAAAAACCAAAAGAAGGGCTGGGGATGTGGCTCCGTCAGAAGGGCCTGGATTCAATTCCCAGTGCCACAAAAATAAAAATACAAATGCATAAAGCTATGTGTCTATAGCAGGCAGTAGTTTAAGTGCTTCCTATGTACTGTGTTATTCCTTATTTTGCGGACGGAAAACTGAGGCCCAAACCTCGGGTTCGCACCGGAGCCCTCTGCAGCTGCGCACGGCCAAGTCCTCCCCCCCCCCAACCCCACCTGCACCGTCCCGAGCTGTCACTGCCTCCCGCCCCGCGGTCCATCCGCAGGGGAGCTCAGCTTCCAGATCGTTCTGCACTTCACCCGCCGCACGCCAAACAGACTCAATTAGAAAAAAAAATCTATCGCTAATTTGAAAGCTCTGATTCTATAATTTCCTGCAGGGAAGACATGTAAATTGCGTGTTATTTAACACCCTTCCACGGCAGGTGAGTTCTGCGGGGGGCAATTATACCCCGCTCCACTCTGCGCACAGATTCTGACGAGGGAGGGGGAGGAGTAGGAGGGGGCCATTGTTCCCCGGCTGGTCCCCCCAGGACTGGTCCCCGAGGGCTGGCGGGACCCCCGAGTCTGCAGGGCCAAGGAGGGCGCTGGCTTGGGGTTCACACCTCTGGCTCCTCAACCACCAGAAAACCACCCAGTGCCTCTGGTACCCCCAAACTCTTGGTACCGAGCTGTCCCCAGGTACCTCTGCCATGGTCCTCGCCTGGGAGATGGGGGCGCTTGCAGCCCCTAACCCAAGCTGCTAGGGGGACGGAACCCTGTATCAAGTCTGAAACGAACAGAGGAAGGAAGGGACAAGAGCCCTGAGGTCCCGGCGCCGGGCCCTCTGTGAGGGGGACCCCACTTCTGCACTGTCTAGCTGCCCCAGCTGGGCCCTGAGCCCCAAAACCCAGCAAGAGCAGGGCGGGAGGGCGCCACCTGCTGGCCGCGTCGGGAAGCGCGCGCTCCTGGCTGAGTCCTTTGGGGAAACCTGCTGAGACCCCCAGGCCTGGGGCTGTCCGGGCTCCCCGCTGACCTCCCCCTTCCGCAGGATGGACGCGGCTGTTGTTGTCAGAGGGTGCCCCGGGAGGCCGGGGGGAGCAGGGTCCCCGGCAGACCCACTACCCCGACTGTCTTCCTGGGGTCGCACACCACTGGGGTCCGCGAGGCCCAGCAGGCTGCAGCCCGGGTGTCAGGGAAGCTCGTCTTCTGCTCACCAGGGAGCCCGGTGAAAAATTCCCCCCTGAACCGGTCACAGCCGCACTCCGGCCTCGGCCACAGGAGGGCAGCAGCGTCCGTTCCATCGCGGCCCTGCAGCGGGGCCTGGCTCCCACCCGCCTCTGCCTGGGAAGGGGACCAGGGACCTGGGCAGAATCTGGGGGGCTCCGGTCCCCTCACCCCGGAGTCCAGCCTGGCTCCTGTCACCTCCATTGCCTGGGTGGAGGCCAAAGCCTGCGACGTGCTGGGGGCACAGGAGAGGGCTGGGCTATTGTCCAGCTGGGCTGTGTGGCCTGAGCACATCCCTGCCTCTCCCTGGGCCTCAGTTTCCCTGTAAAATGTGGGTGTCGGTTCCGGTCGGAGTGACACACGGGCAGTCCACACTTTAGTTAAGTCTACGCGGATTTTTTCAAAAGCCTTTGCACACCGGCTACTGCTCCCTGCCCACCCCGCCACGCTGACCACCTGGTGTCAGCTCGAGTTCCAGAAGGGACAAGGCGTGTTGGAACCCAGCACTTCCGAAGGAAGAGGGCGCTGGGCCCTGGATCCCTGATCACCACACCCCCAGGCAGAGGACGCACCCGGGGACCTGCAGAAGTCCCAGAGGACAGGGACTCCCCTCCCTTCTCTTTGATTTTCTTCCTGAAAGAAATTAGGCTGTGTGTTTACTGGTTTTCAATAGCTGAAAATATGTCTGTGTCATACCACCAGAGACTGTACAGAACGCATCTGTTAAAAAATTAATGAGCTGAGCGCCGTGATGCCCAGCTGTGATCCCAGCTACTTGGGAGACTGAGGCAGGAGGATCGCAAGCATGGGCACCTTAGCAAGACCCTGTCTTATTATTATTATTATTAATAGTAGTATATGTTAGTGATCCACAGAAAGACCCTCTCTTTAAAAAAAACTAAGAAGTGTTGGAGGCAGAAGTAGAGGTAATTGCTGAGGTCCTGGGTTCAATCTCCAGCACTCCACACACAGGATAATATGAAGCTTACCACCAAGATCCAAAGATAGAGCATTGCTCTTCCCTGAGTTTTTGTTTGGTTTTGGTTTTGATTTGGGGACTTTGTTTTTGTTTTGTGAGGGGTCGTTTGTTTTCTGTTTTTGGTACTAGGGATCGAACTCATGACCTGGCGCTTGCCAGACAGGCACAGTACCACTGAGCTACATCCTTGGCTTCCCTGAATTTTGCGGTGAACATTGTGAAAAGTACCAGCTGCGGCCAACAGCATCCACTGGGTTCTGATCTCAAGCAGAAAATTTCCCATAAGCCTCTGTAGCTATATTAACACCAAGTTTAAAAAAAAAAGACTTCCATGAAAAAGCAGGTGTTGGGTATGGCATTGTCACCAGATGATGGCAGAAGGTTCGCTTTTACCAGGGAACTGTAGCACACCCACTCTCTGCACTGCCACCTCTGGGTACCCACTGTGGTTGGCACTGTTGCACTTGGTCCTCAGATCACAGGAGTACAGTGTCGTGGGTTCGCACAGATCCGAGACACAGTTCCCAGGCACCTCGGTCTCTCTGGTCACTTGTAGTTCCCGGTAAAGCAAATGCCAGCCAGCCCTGGACACTCACGCCCAGAATCCAAGCTACTTGGGAGGTGCAGCTCGGAGGCAGAACATTTGCCTGGCTGTGCAGGAGGCGCTGGCTTCCCTCCCTGGCTACACACACGCATGCACACACATGCATGCACATGCATACATGCACACGTGCACAGACACACTTGCACACATAGCGAAGGCCGTGCAGATCGCTCCTGTACTGCACTGCTAGAGGAAGTGTAGCCGAACATTTCCCCTCCACCCTCATTTTGACCTGGGCAGGAGCCTGCAGCCAACTGGAGACCCAGGGACAGAAGCCGTGCGGACGCTTCTGTTGCATTTGCCGGAAGCCACGCATGGCTGGAATCCATTCAGGACATCAAGGCAGCCACAGAAAGACTCTCACGAAAGAGAACATCCAGAGCTGCTTCAGAAAGGGGCAAGAGGGACCGGCCATGTGTGTAGGGAGAGAGAAGCCAGCCTGCCGACGGGGAACGTTGGGGACGAATGGCCACGCGGCTTCCGTGGCACCGATTTTATACACTCACCGTGTTTGCTGGTCACACACGTACTTGGGCTTCCAGTAGTTCTGAGTGTGTCTCTTAAAAATGGAGCAAAGTCTACATTTAGAACGTGACCCAGTTTTTAAAATTCAGCCTGACAGTGCCTCTGAAGCAGCGTGTGGTCCTTCCCTAGCTCCCTCATCTCGCCAGGTTAACTCAGACGACCTTGTATTTTCCATTCATTCAATGGTCCTGCTCACGGGCTCTTCCTCGCCATCACTGAGATAATTCCTCATCTTAATTTTGTTTTCTAATTTCTAGTTTTGAGCATTTATCCTCGGGATTTTGAGACCGAACACTTAACTAACAGTCCAAACTTAGCCAATATATTTACCTTCTTTCCAAATAACTGAAAGAATTTTCAGGCTTTAATTTTGAACATCCTCTCCCAAATTATATGGTAGAGTCCAATATTTCAGTACCGGTCTGTTTATCCCGCCATAAATTAAACCTTACTATTGTGGAGTTAAATAGTCCAGGCTTATTTTGCTGTCTTCCAAATATTTACCAGTGCCCCTTGTATATCTGGCATTTCTCTCCAGAATAATGTTTGTCCTACCGGAAATTTAGTACATTTAGAGATTTCCGGAGTGCGGGTATTTTGATGGTAAAAGCCTCACACCTGTGATTCCCCTGAGTGTGTCTGGGCTTCAGCATCACCCTGAAAGGATACACCGAGTTCCCATTGCCTGGCACGGTAAACTGACGGTTCTCCTGCGGCTTCCATTGGAGACCATGAGAGGTCAGCTGTCCACTTAATCGCTGACCCTTTCCATCACCTTTCCCTGATGTTTTAACATCTTCTCTTTTTCTCTGATGGTCCACAGTTTTATTCCATGAGTCTTGACGTAAATTCCTTTCCATTGACCTTCCTTGGGATTCGCTGGGGTCTTAGTGACTTTCTCAGAGCTGAGATAAAATTCCTGCCATCCAAAATGAAAAGGGAAAGGTTGATTTAGCTCCGTTTTTAGAGGTTTCAGCGTGTGGCCAGCCGGTTCCGAGGCAGAGGGCCTGCCCAAGGACTCCACAGCGAGAAACCGTCCTCGGCGGGGCAGGCAGGGGCCAGCAGCACAGCAGCGATGCGCCCTGCTCTCTGCCCCTGGATTCGCTCCAGTTTACAAGTCTAGCAATGGGTGTCACCACACGCAGGCTGGGGCTTCCCTCATCCAAACCTTTATCCTAGTGTCCGGCCTTCAGTGCTCAGCTCACACTCTGATCCAGCCCGTGAGGCCCTGGGGGTCAGCTAGACCCAGACCGCAGCCACGGGACCTCCAGGCTCTGAAGCTGACCTCTACGACAGCTGCACAGAACGACCGGCCTTTGTGTCTTCTCCTCCTGGACCCCGTCGTCTCCTGGAGCTCCGACCAGCTGCGGGGCCACTCACCTCCCCGCCACGTCCTCTCTGCCGCCCAGCCTTCCCCCGGAGCTTCAAATCCCGAGCACCACATTTTCACTCCAAAACAGTTCTGTTCCTAACTGCCGAGTCTCTGCAGAAACTTACTCCCTACCCGTGTTCCAAAGTGTTAAAATTTCTTTAAAAACACAGTAACAGTTCTTTTCAATTGATTTGAGGTCTGCAGATGACAATTTCAGATCAGAAGGCTTCCAGGATCCCTCTCCACTGGCTCTTGTTTCTGTTGGCTCTTTCTGTCTGTCTTTGCAAAGTTTTCTTTCCACTTGAGCGCCTCGCTCATGTTCTTTGGAGCTTATGACATTCTAGAGACGGATGCTGAGGGTAAATTTCCCTGAGGATTTACCGTGGCCGGACTTAGGGTCTGTTTCTGCCAGTGGACGGGGCGTACCATGGCAAGGCACTAGGAGGTCAACTCTTGAGTTCCTGCCTAACCACACAGGTGATATCAATTCGAACCGAAACCCTGGTGAGGGCCGACCTGCAACATCTTCTCAAGGGAGATTTGGTTGGTTGGTTGATTGGCTGGTTGGTGGTTGATATTGGGAACTGAAACAAGGGGTGTTCTACCAATGAACTACACACACACACACACACACACACACACCGCCATCCAGCCTATTTTATTTATTTTGCAATGAGATCTCACTAAATCACTAAGCTACCCAGGCTGAGCTCAAACTTGTGGTCCTCCTGCCTCAGCCTCCCAGAGAGCTGGGATTAAAGGTGTGTGCCTCCCTCCCTGACCCAGATATATTTTCTTTTAACTCAGTGTCAAAGCCAGGGCAAGTAGGTTTCCTTTCCTTTCCTCTTCTGCAAGGTGAGTTACTTGACATCATCCTGACACTCTGGTCTCGTGGACCCTGGCTTTGAGGGGTCTCCTGCGACATCCCGCTAAGCTCCGTCTGCTCCTGCACCCCACGCAGGAACCCCAGCTCCCGGTCTCTGTGGCCTCCTGCCTTGGCTTTGTTTTCAAGATGGTTGTATGCGAATTCCACAAGGCAGAGACCAAAAAAAAGATTAAGAAGGAACACATCCAGCGGGGGATTTACGAAAGGCATCGAACTTCTAACCTGGTGGAGAGCCAGACACAGACATCTCCCTGAGAACCTTCCAGAATGTGCTTTGGCCTGTTCTTCCCTCTGAGTCCCCAGAGGGACAGAGGAGCCCCCGTCCTAGCACCTCACCTGCTTGGTCTGCACCACCTAACAACTTCAAGCACCCGGTGCCCGGTGCCTGTCGGACGGGCTCCTGAGGGTCAGGACAGGCTTTTGCTGGACACTAACAGGACACCGCCGTGAACCGTGGCTTCCACCAGCACACAGCCGCAGCAAACTGGCCTGCTTTTGCAGAGTCCCAGCGCCGCAGAACAAAAGCGTGTCTTGCCAGCTGGACTCGCCCCAGCCCGATCCGGGCCGGGCTCTGCGGAGCCCTTACGTCAGGAGTCTGGCAGAGAGAACCCGGGCTGTCTGGCGAGGCGCAGAGCCCCAGCCCTCGTCTTTCTTAAAATGGAACTGATCCCGGTCCCCAGATATCCCCAGGTCTCGCAGGCCCCACTCAGCCTCCCATCCACCCTCACACCTCTGACTCAGAGGGAAAAATAAGCCACCCAACTCCTCCTCCTCTCCTCTCCGCAAGCAGCCGAGAGGTGTAAGCTTTGTTCACAGCTGAGTTATTTCTGATCTTGGTTCTGGCTAAAAGAAACTCGGAGGGACGGTGGCTGGGAGACGTGTGGAAGCCGTGCCAAGCCAAACTGTCTAAGCGCCTGCCTCTGAGCAGCCGGCTGGGGAGAGTGTGTTCCACTAAGAAAGAGCACCTAAGAGCACCTAGAGTGGGGGGCAGGGCTGGGGCGGGCGGGAGCGAGAGGGGTCCAGGGGTGATGCATGTATACCCCGCCCCCCCCCGCCCCAAACGCATTCACTACGCGTGGCAAACACACACACAGCGGGCAGGGATTCAGCTCAGCGGCTCAAGCATCTGCCTGGGAAGTGTGAGGTCGTGAGTTCGATCCCCAGCACCAAAGGAAAGAAAGTACACACACAAAGCAGGGGAAATCCACTTCAGCAGACAGGCAGCGAGGAAGGCCTCAGGGTGACCATTTCGGGCAGCTTCTCAGAATGTGGCCCCTCACACACCTTGGAGAACCAGGAAGGGCCACCCCGAAACACAGGGCCCCCGGGGTCAGTGAGGCTCAGAGCCAGAAGGTGAGCGTGAGGTCTGAGAAAAGGATGTCAGGCCCTGCTGCCTCTGCTGGGGCCTGTGACCCCGGGAAGTCGCTGGACCTGGTGTCCACCCGCTGGAGGGACCAGAAGCCCCCCACGAGGGGCGCAGGCAAGCAGGTGGAGCTGTGAGTGTACTTCCACAAATCACGGTGCTCGGTGAGCTCCCAGGGCCTCTGTGGGGGCCCCGGTGACCAGTGCCACGGCGTCCCTGTGTCAGCACTGGGGAGAAGAGGGGAGCAGGGAGCAGTGGAGAGGGAACCCAAGGGACAGACAGATGAGGACGGGCCTGCAGTGCCCACAGCACAGCGCCTTGCCTTCTCCCCAAAAGTCAAGAGCAGAACTGGGATTCGAACTCAGCTCCCGGGGCTGAACACTGCCTGCCTTCTTTGACGCTCAAACAGCAAACACTTGTTGGCATGGAGCCAATCCTGTGCGTGTGCGTGTGCGGGCACCTGGATGGGAATCGGAAAGGCCCTCGAGCTGGGGATCCTCCCAGGCTACCACGCAAGACGGACAGTGAGGAAATAAGGGCCCCGGGTTTCCAGCACGGGCGTCGGGGTGGACAGTGGGGCTACTTTTCTCCGTAAACTCTGCTGCCAGGACAGAGGGAGGGGCAGGGGGGACCTCTTCAGAAGCCACACGGCATGGAGGGAGCGGGCAACAGGCACTCTGAGCTGGAGGCGGGAAGCCGGCCATCAGCAGAGGGGGAGGACAGCGCACTGGGACACCGCTGGACCCCGTCCCCAGTCCCAGGAGTCAGGGGGCTGCACTGTGCCAAAGGTGGGTGGGGCTGATGGGCCACTTCTGGAGCTGAGCCGGGAGATGAGTGTGCGTAACACCAGCACCCTGGGAGGCCGAGGCAGGAGGGTTGCAAGTTTGGGTAGCACCTGGGCAATACAGTGACTTAGTGAGAGGACTAAAATAAAAAGCACAAACAGGCTGGGGATGGAGCGGAGCGCGGCCCTGGGATCGATCCTGCAAGATGGAAAAGGAGGAGGAACAGGAGGAGACGTCACCGCATCTGCTCACCGCCTCTGAGCAATCCCCCCAGTGACTCCGCGACCCTCCCACCACTCCAGACAGGGCTGTGGGACCAAGGAGCCCTGCCCAGGGGACACTGAGAACCTTTGCACCCACACCCACCCAGGTCCTGCGCTGTCCCCGGGAGCCTGGCCAGCCCAGGACCCAGGTCTTCGCACACAGGCATGCGCTGCCCAACAAAGCCTCTGGCTACCGGGCCCGACTCAAGCCAGGAGACCCTGGGCTCTTGCACCATAGGGACAGACACCCAGCACTATTAGGATGGGAGGGGAGTCATGCGTGTGGCCCCAGAGCCGGAAGAAATGCCATGTGGACCGCACTGACTATTTCGGGTGGAATCAAGAAAAAGCACAATGTTTCAAAATGCTGAAGAAAAAGCATTTCCAGCCAGATCTCTCCGTCTGGCCAAGCCATCCATCACACTCGAGGATAAAGTGAATATTTTTAGACAGAAAAAGGCTTCGAGCGCCGTCTCTCGCCCTTCTCTGTTCCCCACGCAGGAACCCGCTTCCCTGCTGACCGTGACGTGGGTCAGCCCCGGCTCTCACCTGTAAGCTCCTGTCCACTCCGTGGTCCTCTCCATGCCCCATTTCCACCTTTTGGGGCATCATGCTGGCCACCTTGCTGGTTTGAGTGACCGCAAGTGCAAGATAAGGGCTGTCACTCCTCCTGGGCGAAGGTGTGGGAACACAGAGCGGGAGTCACACCAAGTGTCACTTGGGCTGGACTCACGGCAGCCAAGACCACGAGTTCAGGTCAGCGAGGCGACAGCGTACATCAGGGTGACTTTCAAGACAGACACACAGCATGGGCTGCACTTTCCCTGGGCCCTCCACTCCCAGGAGATGAGAAGAGGACACTGCCCCTCAGGATGACGGAGGAGATGCCCAGAGGGGAGGCCCAGGCGGGGCACTTGCCTGCCACACACAAAGCCTTTGGTGCCATCCCCAGCACAAGGGAGAGAGAAGACAGGAAGATGGAGCCACAGGGAACAGAAGAGAAACCCAGGGGCCCTAGGACAGCAGCCACCCCCGCCTGGGGCCTGGCATAGGAAGACCTGGTCACCCCAAGTCCTCCCCGGAAAGTTCAGGGCAGAGTGAGCCTCTGCTCTCCAGGGAACCCAGCAGGGGAGAAAGGGGAGCGTTAGCTGGGAGTGGGCAGCACCGGGCTGGGCAGTGGCCGCTGGCACAGGTGACGAGGACCTTTCCCTGGCTGTAGGCAGGTGGGTGGGCCAAACAAGACCAGGCAGTGCCTCCTCCAGGGGCCACAGTCAGACCACGAGGGCAGGACAGTCCCCATGTGGCTCTCAGCACAGAAACCAAAGTCATTAAAGGTGAGAGGCCACGGGGAGGGAGCCGGGAACCAGTATTTTTCTTAACAAATTTTGGAGAACTGTCTGGCTGTATGAGTTGGATTAAGCTAAAACTGAAGAAACTAAATAACCAAACTTCCCTGATCCTGAGCTCAGCCTGCCAGTTAGGGGCCGAGAAGCCCGGCGAGGAGACAGGCACTGCGGTCTCCCTCACCCGGAGCCTCTGCCTTTGACCAGGAGGCAGCCCTCACCCTCAGCCGCCTGGGGAGGTTGTGGCCCAGATTGGCTGAAGGTGCCGGCAGGGGCTGCCTGTCCGAGACCCCATCTGCAGCAACCCTCCTGCTCCCAGGTTGGGGGGGCCACTGGGACTGACGTTCGCTGTCAGTTTGCAAATGAGGGGACCCTCCCAGGGCCACTCTGCCACCCTCCTCCTCCTGCTCCTCGCACAGGATGATGATAGGGCACTGAGGCCTTGGGTTCTCAGGAGATCCAGCACCTGAGGTCACAGAGACAAAGCAGAACCCTTGGGACAGGATGGGATGGGGGAGCAGGGGGTGCGGGCCCATCTCAACCCCACACCGTTGTTCCCACCCCAGGCCAGATGCGACTCCCGGCATCTCACCCCTGGCTTCCCCCACCTGCTGACTGCTGTGGGTGGCAGTTTATACCGAAGACTCCCCATGACGGACCCCTGAACAGGCCATCTGCGACTACCCGTTGGACACCCCTGCCTACAAAGCACCCCTCCCCTCCCCTCTCCTGCACAGCGGCAGACTCGGCCACCAAAGTGCAGCTGACAGGAGACGACCCTGACCCTAAGAGGCACACACGTCCCCCTCCCATCCCACACCCCAAATCCTCCAGCCCAAGCAGATGCCCCCCATTGGAACTCAGCTCCTCGCCTTCCTCATGGGGCTCTCTGGGGGCCAGATGCATCATGCATATTTTGGGGAACAAAAGGATGAGAAATCCAAGGAGTATTTTGAGAAACACAAGCAATCAGATGTTAAAAAATAGCTGATTACGTGCCTGGCAAAACAGATCAGCAGACAGGAACCGGCCGGCGTGGGGGCAGAGAGCTGTTCGGGGAGAGAACCTCATCTGGGTCCCCGTGTGGCACAGGGAAGCAGGAGGAGCAGCAGGAAAGAAATGGGTTTGGACTCGATCTTTGCATCTTTCAAATGGACTGAAAAAGACATTATTCATAATGCAAAGTAAATCCTAGAAAGATGGGCCAAACATATAAGTGAACAGAGACCAGCTCGCTGGAGGAGCGGAATATTTTCCAGCTTTAAAATCACCGAGGCTGTTTATTTATTTTAGGGGAAAGGAGAACGGCTTTGACTACATAAAAACTGAAAATCTTCGGTACCACAGACAAAATTAACCAGACTGGCGGCAGGAGAAAGGGTTAACATCCATAACCCAGGAACCCTGATAGAAAAGCCTTAAACCAACAAGGTTTTTATTTTCTTTTACTTTTTTTGGAACTTGACAAAAATGATACCAAATTTCATCTGGAAAAATAAACTTCTGAGAGCAGCCAGGGAAATTATAAGGAAAAACAAAAAGTCCTGAAAGAGAGCTGGTCTGGCCAGATGTCAGGACGTCGCAGGGAAGTCCAGCAGTTTTTAGGCCTGGCGGTGTCGGCTGAGTGGGAGCCCCTGCAAGCAGGCCGGGGTGCAGAGATGGAGGGAACGGAAGTGGAAATTCAGCACATAACTGAGAAGAGGCACGTCCTACTGCGGGAGAAACCCGCATTGTTCAGAGCGCGCGGTGAGATAACCGAAGTCAGCCACCTGGAAAGCATAAAGTGGGATTCCTGCCTCACCCTCACACCCAAATTCACTCCAGATGGGCCTGACATTTAAACCAAAAACATGAGCTTAAAAATTATTTTAAAAGGTGAATTTATAAGCCTGGCAAAGAAAGCTCTTTCTAAGCGGGACACAGGGTCCAGAAGCCAAGGTAAAAGTTCCCTGGGAGAAGAAAATGGGTTAGAGACAGAAACAGCTTGAAAAAGATGAGACTCGAGTCCCCTGTGGTCTATGACAGTCCTTCTTCACCCAAAATAATCCAGAGCTGTTACCTCGAGGCTCAGGCAGGTCCACCCCCGGCCCCAGTGTGCATGGAGAACGGACCGAACCCCATGCTGGTGCCCAGCGGCCAGCAGCTCACCGGGAGTGCGCCCAGAAAGTCCGTGTCCACCAGAGACTTGCTCCAGGTGGCCAGGAGCGAAAGCGCTGCAGATAAACCAGGTTTCTGGACTTTGAGGACTCTGCGCCCAACCCAGGGGTCCCCCAGTTTCTGAGGGTGACAGACAGGAGTCATTGACAGGGTGTTGGGGCCTCTCGGGGGCTCTCAACACGCGTGCAAGTCCCAGAATCCTCTCCCATCTTAATCAGATGCGGCCACATCATGCATATTCATGAACCTTAACGAGGCAGGAGTGGAGTCAGGGCGTTAAAAGGTCAGGCAAGGGGGTCCCAGAGCATGAGATCTCCCCTCGGACCTCGCAAGGGGCAGGGCCCTCAGGTGCTGTTTAAATTACAGATAGGGCCAGGGATACGGCTCAGTAGCACAAGCGCCTGCCTGGCGGGTGCAAGGTCCTGAGTTCGACTCCCGGTACCAAAACAAAAATTAACCGGGCAGAAGAGTGTGGTTTTCTCGCTCTATTTTTCTAGCTGTTTTATTAAGTCAGTGGTGATGGGACAGAGTCCTAGGAGAAATGTAAGTTTAGATCCAACTTATACTGAACAGTAATGATGTCACAAGCAAATAAAGTCCTCGAAGGGCTGGCTAATCTGTAAAGAAATACTGACCGGATCGCTGCAGAGATGAAACTCTTCTAAGCTGAAAACAGAGAAAATCAAAAGTTGGAAATGAGAGGGATTTAACTGTTTAAAACATATCTTCCACATTTTTAAAAAATAAAATTCGACCTTAAAAATTTTGACCACATAAAATCCTTAAAGTACTAAGTGGAAAAATACAATATAAAAAAGCCAAAGCAAAACCTGGAGAGGGACCAACATGCTGTAAGATTAATTGTTTTAATTTAGAAAATGTTCATAGGAGTAAGAAAAAAAGATTTCAAATCTAACAAGTTGACAATTTTTTTTACTGTATGTGAAAAGGAGATTGTCCAGAAAGTTAAAAAGGAAACACACAGAAACAATTCAATCTGGCTCATATTTAAGAAATGTAAGCTGCTGGGTACCTTTTTTAACCTGTCAATTTGCCAAGATTCACAAAGCTTTCCCTAAACCAGCAAAATCACAGAGAAACACAAAAACTGCTCAAAATCTTTAGGCTTGAAAACACTACAAGTGTGTGGAGAAACAGCTGTTCTCAGACATTGTTGGTGGGCGTGTCATTTTGCTTACTCTGCGATTTTTTTGTTTGTTTGTTTTTATCTGACCAGGGATCAAACTCAGGACTGCCTGCTTGCAAGGCAGGCACTTATGCTGCTGAGCTAAATCCCCAGCCCCCTACTCTGTGATTTTTGATGACTGTATAATGCTCCATGTTCATGGGTGGCAACATACACTGAATCAGTCCCGTTCATAGACATTTAGGGTTTCTTTTTAAAAACTTGTCTTCATTTGAAAAGCGGTACTCCCAGGACATACCTGGACACGCTTTTGCATGCGTGTAGAACTTTGTAACTCCCGCACGTCTTGCCACTTCTATTTTGAGACAGTCTCACTAAGTTGCCCAGGCTGGCCGAGTGCTCACAATCCCCCTGCCTCAGCCTCCTCAGCGCTGGGGTGACAGGTGAGAGCTACCACAGCCGGCTTTGAAACACAGTTTTCAAAGAGGACGGCAAGTGGGGAATAAGATGCAGGAACAGCAATGGGGTGGAACTGCAGGTTGTGCTGTAGATAGAACTGAGGCCTTTGCCACCAACCTGCCGAGAGACTCTAGCACCACCTCAGCCCTCTTAGTAGGCCTCAGTTTCCCCAAAGGAAAAAAAAGGAAGGAAAGTTCTTGTTCTTAAAGCCATTGACTGAATGACACAGCAGAAAGAATCGGCCTCACCCCGTGTCCTGGGGCACAGATGGGTGTTGGTGCTGCCGACGCTTCCCTCCCACGCCGCCACATCAGAAGCCCAGCTGCCCAGCCCAAGCAGCCGGAGCTCCCGGCTCAGCCCAGGCGGAGGCCAAGGAGGCCAGGAAGCCAATATCTGCTCTGTGCAGAGCGCGCTGTCCCTCTGCCAGGAGGCAGCTTGGACCCAGGCCTGCCTTTCCTGATGTCTTACACATGGGACATTCAGCATTGACCTGCTCGGAGCCCCCCAGTGCCTGGGGAAAGCAGGGGGAACCCCCTTGACTGATTCCACCCTCGGGGCTCCAGGCTCCGCGCCCACCTCCTGCCGCAGTCTGGCCAGACACACAGTCTCCGCTCCCGCAAGCCGAGCTTTGAATATCGTCTTTTCTGGGGTTCCCCTCTGCCCGGCCTCCGCTCACCTGCGGTCCTGGAGCCCATTTCTAATGACTTCCTGTGCCGAGAGCGTGTGAGCCCTCGGCCACGCTCCAGAATGTGTGAGTGAGCGGGAATCAAAGGGCACGGGGTCCCGACGGGACGTGCAGGAGCCTGCATCAAAGCGTTGCAGCTGGGAGACTCGGAGAGAAGCGGACAGGAAGTGAACACGCACACCTAAAGCTATGCAGAGGGTGAGTATAGTGCAGGGTGATGCGTGTGCGTGCGTGTGTGCGTGCGTGCGTGCATATGTGTGTACATGCGTGTGTGCGAGCGTTTGAAGGGCCGGAAGGAATACAGAGCATCCAAAGGCTCTCAGCACTGAAGATCTTTAAGATAAGAGAGACACCAATGAGGTAGCAGACAGCTCCTGTGTGTGCTGAGCAGCGCACCCAGCATTTTCTATGTGCTCTTTATGCACTTTTTATGTCTTTCAAGCTCTTTGCCATTCATTGCATGACTCCTGTAATCAGAAAAATGTGTTGCTTTTTTTTTTTTTTAGCATAAATCATGATCCCTGAATAACAACTTCCATGCCAGACTAAGACACCTTTGGCCAGGGACCCGTCCACCTTTCAGGAGAGGCTCCTCCCTAAAAGCTGGGTCCAGCAGCTGCCACCAGGCCCACAACGCAGAGGAATGAACTTAATTAAACCCCTGAATCCCAGGAGCCCCTGCCTGGTCTGTCCTCAGCAGCTACTTGGTGGCCAGCAGGGTAGAGTCCAAGACGCCAGGCTCTCGACTGTCAGCCAAGGCCTGACCCCTGGATGGTTCAGCATGAACTTGGCCAAGTGTCCCCCTCACTCCCTCTGTGCCTCAGTTTCCCCTTCTGTAAAATGGCCAAGATATCAGTCCCCACCTCCTGTGCAGATCAGGAAGAGAAAGAAATAGGGGAGTCAACAAACCAACACTCCCCCCAGCCCCGTGCGCACAGTAGGCACTCAGCACATTGGGGTTCCTTCGTCCTACCTACCGGGTATAACTCACTGCTTGCTAGATGGGGTGTGCTTCATTAGCGCTGCAGACGGGTGGCCCCCTGAAAAGAGCTCTTATGAGTAAGTCCTCTGGGCTCGGCCCCCAAAGCGGCACGGGAAAAGAATAAAGAAAGAATCCGGGGAAGGGACAAAGTCCCGCAGGTCAGAGGGGGAAGGGGAGTCGTGGCCCAAAGGGCTTAAGCTGGGGACAATGAGCCGGCTGAGCTGCCCAGGCCGCCGCTCTGAGCCTAGAAGAGCTCTTTTCTTGTTTAAAGCCTTAAAGAGCTATTAAGTGGGGCAAATCGCTGGTAAAACAGCTGGAAAGCTACAGCAATTTAACCAGCCCATTGCCCCCATCCCGACGCTGCATGCGGGCGGGACAGGCCCACGCTGCCCGCCGCTGTCCGGGCGGGCCGAGAGGACTGAGCAGGACCCTTCCTGGCCCCTGCAGCAGCCGGCTTTATCCAGCAAAGCTGCATTTCCACCCGCCCGCCCCTCCCCCTCCTCTGTCTCTCTTTTAAGTGAGCAGACCGAACTCTAATTTCCCCTCTTTTCTCTCCCCAGCCCCCCTGAATCAGCCCATTCTTTCATTATGTGAAACTGATGAAGGCCTCGCAGAGCCCCTGCTCAGGAACAGGGCCCTTAAATAAAACATGTTTCATTGATCAACTTCAAAAAGTCTTTGCCGGGGTTGGAGGGGGAGAGGGAGGAGGTGGCGGGGTTCGGGGGAGCGGGGAGGGAGGGTCTCCCAGGCCGCCCCCAGGGGGAGGGGGCTGCGGCAGTCGGGTGACAGCCGGGAAGGAGGGGGCCTGCGCGATGTGTGCTTCTGTCCCCGGCATCCATTTGTTTGCTTAGCGGGCCAGCAAGTCTGCAGGCGCTGGAGCCCGCGGCCTCAAGCCCCTCCGTTCACCACAGAGAACCGGAAAAGACGGCTGGATTGCTTTAAGATTTTTATTTTATTTTTTTCTTAATCTCCCCCACAAATAAAAATTTTGGCCAACCCAGTGGAGCTCACGCTGCAGCGCAGTCCCCGGGAGCCATGCGGCTGCAAGCTTCCAGCATCGCTGACGTCCACTCTGGAAGTGTCGTGCAATCCTGAGAGCTGAGGGCAGAGGTTAGGGCAGCTCAGCCCAAGGAAAGCAGAACCCTCGTCAACAAATCCTTGGTCAGCACCTCCCAGTGCCAGGGGCCTGTATAGCTTCCTTTCCTTGGCTTTAAAAATCATGTAGCTTGCAAGAGCCGTGAATGTCAGTTGTAAAACCATCTCATTACACACTGTGGGGACAGCACAAAGTCGGGACCCAGGGGGACCTCTCAGTGCCAGCCAGGAAGAAACTGCCACTAGCATTCAGATGCACCGCCCTTTGAGATTTCTTCACACACACACACACACACACACACGCGTGCACACACACGCGTGCACACACACACACAAGCAGAGAGGCTTCTCCAGTTTGCCACAAACATGAGATCACAAACAAACCATCCCAGACAGAGGGCCAGAGTCACAGTCACAGACCGACAGACCCACACAGTCTGGCACACAATACCTGCCACAGACCCTGTTTTCAAAGTTGGCTTTGTCATGGCGGAGCAGGGACACCTCCTGACGCTTGGATGGCTCCATGTTTGTATTCTCTTGTGTTTGTGCCTTAATTTACCCAGCCACCTCCTCCCAGAAGATGCCAAGGTCGTCCTCTGAGCAGATGTTGGTATCATAGACCACACTCCTATAACGATCCCAGGAATGCTACACGCACCTCTGTGTGTGTGTGTGTGTGTGTGTGTGTGTGTGTGTATGTGTGTGTGTGCACGGGTATGTATGTGAGTATGTATTTTGCAAATCTGGAACTCAAACCCAGTTCCTAGCACATGCTGGGCCCTAAAGCAGGCATTTTACTTTTTTTTTTGTCTTTTTCATTTTTATCGGTACCAGGGATCGAACTCACGACCGCCTGCTTGCAAGGCAGGTGCTTATGCCGCTGAGCTAAATCCCCAGCCCCATAGAGCAGGCATTTTAAATGTTGATAGTTAAGCATTCCATAAAGGCTGCTCCCAAATGCTTCCCACAGTGGTGCCCACTCCCGCCGTGGCCCTGGATGCTCTGATTCTTGTCACCTGTGCCAGCCCCTCGGGGAAACTCATCGTGTGTGTCATGATTTAGATTCAGATGTCTCCCTGAAACATGGATCAAAGCCAGGACCTTTGGAAGATGATTGGATTATGGGGCTGCCTGGCTGTTGGGAGGTTAGGGTCAGGGTTTGGAAGACGGGTCCTGGGAGGGGAGACCGGAAGGTTCTCCTTCCTCCCCCAGCTCCCCCCTCTTCTCTTGCTGCTTCCTGTCTGCTGTGCTACGGACTGTTTCTATGAGCCTGAATAAACCTGTTCTCTAATTCATGGGTGTCGGGTATTGTGTCCGTTACAAGAACGGTAACTAAGACGGTGTCTCATCGTAGACTTGGCCGAGACCTCGGGTGAGAGTAAAACCTTCTCATCCTCCCCTGGAGTCGCCTGTCCAGCCCTTTACCCACTCACCACAGCCCCCTGAGACTCATCACCTTGCCCTGAGGGTTGGGAGTGGCGGGAGCTGCTTCCCCCCTGCACTCGGCCTCCTTCCCCACCCCACCCCACCCCTGCACCTCCATACTCCTCGCTGGCCTTGTTAGTGAAAGGGTTGGCTTCTCCCTGGTGTCACTGCCCTGGAACACCACAGACAAGTCATCGACCCTCTCTGATCCTCAGTCTCTGCATCTGTAAAATGGAGTCATCGGGCTTTCGGGCAAGGATGTTTGAAGAATAAAGGGAGACAATAAACAGACTGTCCACAGGAAGAACTTATCTCCCCAGCTTCTGCTGGGTTACAAACTGGGAAGCTTCTGGACTTGGAGCCTCGATGCTGAGAGGCCAGAGAAGACTGGAGATTCAGGGCTCCGGGCCCACAGGGTGAGACCTCCCTCCCAAAGCCTCATGCACTTGGAAGTGGAGCTTTGGGGAGCTGATTGGGTCATGGGCTACTGTACACATTAATGGGTTAGTCCACTAACAAATGGGGTACGTTGGAAGAGGCAGCCTGGGGGCCCGTGGCCTGGAAGTGTGGATTTCCCTCCTTTCTCTTCTTCCTGCCCACACCGAGGTGGGCAGCCGTGTCCTTCCGACATGCTGCTCCTACCTTGGAGCATGTGGTCATGGACACCCCTCGAAATGCAGGACAGCCTGAGCTTCAGGCTCCAGGAGGAACAGGCCCCAGATGCACAGGGACTGGGCAGCCAGCACGAGGCAGCCGCACGGTCCAGGGGTGAGGAGTCAGGACCAGCTCCCAGGAGTGACGCTGCCCGGTTCACGGGCGCCCGGAGCAGCACAGGGGAACGGCGCAGAGAGGAGGGGACGGCAACCTATGCTGCACGCAAGGTCCGGCCTCCACCCCTCATGGGGCACACCCATGAGTGCATTTTAGGGCTCTGCGAAGTGTTTCTCAGTCTACTGAAGCTGGGGTAACACGACGCACAGCCACAGCCTCCTTCCAATGACCGTGGCCGCTTCAGGGTGCCCAGGTCTCCAAGTCACATGCCTGATCCACCCAGGCTGGCCTCCCTGTGCTGGCCCTTAGCCTGCCCTGCCTCAAATTTATATGGAGTGCCAGCTGCAGGACCAGCTCACCTGGAACTTCAGAGGAGTATTTTCCTTTCAAACGGAAGGAAGCAGAGGCTCAGAGAGGTTAAGTAACTTCCTTGAGGATGCACAGCTGGTGAAGTAGCTCCACTGGCCACTCCAGTACAGCATGGCTTTTGTGGTCAGCTGTAGGAGGTCAGCAGTACAGCCATGAGGAGCGCAGCTGGACCCAGGGGCAGGCCCTCAGCTGGCATCCATGCCACTCCGTGGGATACACGGGCCCAGTGGCTCCCGCTCCCTCTGGGATTATCACGGGCAGAGCTGGTCGCTTCCTGTGTCCCTAGCAGCGGCAGGGGTTCAGTGCTCAGTCAGTCTCTTTGCAGATGGAATGAACTCTCTCCTCTCTGCCTGCTGGGTGCTGTCACACAACTGAAGTTTTTCTTTCTTTCAATACTTAGCGGGGACCAGCACAGCCTGGGGTGGGGACACCTAATATTTCTCAGTCCCAACTTCCCCATCTTCAAAGCAGGGGACTCGAGAGTCCCAGCAGGTCTGGAACACTCCATCCTGCAGGTGTCCGCGGTCACGCTCACCGTGACCTGCCCCGGCTCCATCACATTCACAGGGCTAGACGTGGAAGGGCACAGCTGGCCAGGGTCCACTCCCGCAGCATTCCTCAGAGATATGGATGTCAAGACGAGAGGCCACAGCAGCTCATGTGTACGGGGAACCATTGCACGGTGACACTCAAACCTCCTCCGTGCCGGGGACAGTCTAGAGCTGCAGCAGACTAGGCCCCGAGAGGACCGGCATCGTCCGTTCAGAGTGGCACTCTGGGGCAGGCCCCTGAGCATGGAAAAGCTGAGGGTCCCTGGGCAGAGAGCCCTTGACTTCTTTCTGGATCCCAGGGACCCCACCCTGATGCTGCCGGCCAGCACCCCGGTTTCCCATCTAGATACCACCAGAAGTGACGATACTAAGGAGTCCTGAGGAATCTCTCAGGGAATCCAGACCAGCATCTCCTGCCACGTCTCTTCTCAGTGTCCTCCGTGTGAGTCTTGGGTACCAAGAACCACTTGCAGCCAGCTAGGTGGGGTCCAGGGAACAGGTCATGACCCCAAGGGGCAGGGGAGCCAAGGTGGGGAGGACACCACGGATCCGAGAGGGACTCAGAAAGTCAGATCCACAGGACTTGGTAACATCTTTCAGAAAAGCAGTGTAGAGACAAAAACTTGATTCCCTTCTGCCTGATGATTCCTCCACTCTGAGTTCATTTTAACAAAATAACCAGACATTCCCAGACAAGCGTCCTTTATAACAGAAAAAAAAAATCAGAAGCCGTCCCGACTAGCCAGGGAACGATGATACGTTCCTGTCTCAGAACAGCGTTTGAAAACCAATTTTCAAAAATGTTAAAAATCACATTTTAAGGGTACCAGGAGAGGGAGGGCGGGGAGAGGGAAGAAACGGAAAAAGAATAAAACCTGTTACATCCCGTCATGAATGTAATCGTTGTGTGCTGCAAACCTGCACTCACACAAATAAAAACTTTAAAAACTGTTTTTAAAGACTTCACACTTATGTTCTGGAATAAAATGAGAGGAATGGACGGCACGAATGCACGTGTTGACTCAAACTCCAAAACATGTCAAATGAAAGGACTCGGGCAGGAAAAGAAGCCGGATCGGTGGTTTCCTGGGTTGTGGAATTGGGGAAATTGTCTGGCAGGGCCAAGGGGAAATTCTGGGCGGGTAAAAAGTGCTCTCTCTCTCTCTCTCTCTCTCTCTCTCTCGACGGCAGTGGGGATGGTGCAGGTGTACGTGCTTCAAAAGCCCACTGAATGCCGCGGTGACTCAGAAAAGGGGCATTTTCTCCCCCTAAAAATTAACCGTAGAGTTACCATGGTCCAGCAAAGTGTATCCTCCATGGAACTGAAGGGGCCTCGAACCAGGACATCCTCACCAATGTCCCCAGCAGCCTTGTCCACCAGACGCAAAAGTGACGTGTGTCCGACCATGGGCGAATAGGTAAAGAAATTAATGGCATAAAAATACAACAGAGCATGATCCAGACTGAAAAGGAAATCAAATTTTGATGCACACGCCACATGACTGGACCCCAAAAATACTATGTTCTGCTAAGTGAGGCAAATCAAATGCAAAAGGACCAAGGCCCTATGTGTCCACTACGGCCGTGCCAAACTCCCAGGAGCAGGAGGTCCAGCCAGGCGCTGGGCAGGCGGGCGATGGGAAGTCGTGCTCACTAGGGACCGAGTTCCGTGTGGGAAGACACAACACGGGGAGGTGGTGGCCGAGATGGTTCCACACCAGTGTCGGGGGTCTTAATGCCACTGAGCTGTTTATTAAAAAATGGCACATTTTACATCATGTATATTTTGTCATAATAAATAAAAGGAAGTTAACTCATTGAATTACGTACTCAGGGCAGTGCATCGTATTGACGTGTAACAGGTTCTTAATGTAATTTTTTTTACATTTAAATAATGTAATTTCTAAAATGTATAAGCTCATGGGGAAATGATCGGAAGGAAGCAGATCAGAATGTTAACGGATGCCCCCTCAAGGCCTTTTTAAAACTGAATAGATGTGACTTTTTCAATAGGGAAAAGTGTGAATTTCTGTGAACAAGGGGTCCTTGCATGATTAGCAGCGGCAGGCCCGGCAGGTGAGTTCTGCACACTGGTCCGTTGTGCAAGCGCACCCCTGCCCTCCTCCGACCACACGGCAGCCCAGACACCCCGAGAGGAGCCCGGGCACAGCTCCCTGAAAAGACAGGGCAACACAGGCTGACACAGAGCCCTAAGGAACAAAGGGAGGAGGAGGGAACTCCACTTCTCCTCAGAGTCATGTGAGGCGTCACCAGGGGGAGCCAAAGGGCCCCAGGGCCCTTGTCACCTGCTTTGGCGCCCAAGGCCGTGGGTCCTGCTGACCCCCATTCCTTCCCACGGGGCAAAGAGTCGGGGTGGTCAGGGCAGGATGGGCCCCGCCGGATGGCCACAGGACCATTTCTCTGGAGCAGTAAGCATCCTCGGTTACCTGATATCTGTCCGCCTGTTTGTTTGTCCGGGGCACCGGCTTGTTCATGGGATGCTAATCTCTCCAGCCCTGACTAGGGTGCCGGCCCTGGGAGTCCCCCGTGTGGACAGAGACAGGGGAAGCACGAGGTGGGTAGGGTCCGAGGCAGGAGGCCAGGGGTTTAGAGATTCCCAAGGAAGCCCTGAATCCAGCTTGAGAGCAGGGATTGGGGTGTGGACAGAGAGAAGGGGTGAGCCTTGCAAAGAAGGGAGCGATGGAGGCTGAGGGGATACTCAGGCAGAGGGCAAAAGACTCAGGGCATCTTTGGTGCCAGGCCTACTAAGGGCACGATGCTGAGTTTGCCAAGCAAGGAGCGCGCAGGCCTTGGGAAGGTGACATCTCCTCCCTCAAGCTCAGGGGACACCGAGACCCCCTTGCTGGTTGCTGGCATTTAGATTCCCTCCCATCTACCCATCCCAGCCTGGTATAGCACACCAGGCTCTGTGGGTGGCCCTCCATCACGTCTCTGTCACACGCAGTGTGGCCTCACTGGACAGCCTGCGAGGGCCTTGTGGGAGGTGGACCTTGTCAAGGGTGTGCTCCTGGCCGTCTCTATGGCCTTGGCACATTCTCTTCGCCCATTCAATCTGTCCGCCAGGAAATTCCCTTCCTCCTGCTCCATGCCCAGAGGAAATTTTCATACATGTGTCTGCAGTCGCTACCACTCTGTTCCCTGGCTCTGCTCTACCGACCGCACTTGATTCTCTTCTGACAGGAGCCACTCTTTGTCTGTCTGTACATCCGGAAAGGGGAGTGGTTCACAGTGACCTTGACCGGAGCAATTACTTAAGGACAGGCCATGGACCAAACTTCCATAGAGGTAAACTCCCTGGGCCGTGGCAGGAGTCACAGTGTAACAGGCCACAGCTTGTCTCCACCCCCACTTTGGCTGTGGGGGCAAAGCCTGGAAAGCTTCCTGGTTGCTCAAGTTGAGAGGGTACCTGGCCAGGGTTGGGGGCACAGTAAGGGATGCTGGTTTTGGTAAGTCAGATCCCCCCAAACACAGGTGTTGTCCTGTTGCCCCATGCACAAGATAAATGTAGTTCTGGGGGAGAAACTGGAAAGCCACATGACTAAGAAAGGCATGGTATCTATCCTAACACCTCCTTGGGGCAGAGGGCACCCTAAATAAAACACCGCCAGGAGCAACCTTGAGGAAACTGTGGGTGCAGAGGCAGGGTAGGAGCAGGAGACTTAGCAGAAGCCAGACCAGCCCTTTCTGCCTCTCTGGCCTCTTTGGGTTACGCTGTGTGAGGGATCTTTGCCTCAGCCACCAGGCCAAGGCCACAGCTAGCATGCAGTGAGAGTGGACACGGGGAGGGGGCGGCACCGATTCCTCTCTGGGCGCAGGAGATGCAGAGGGAAAGGTTGGGCCCGCACTGGCGAGCAGAGGACAAAAAGAAAAAGTCCTGCCTTTGAGCCGGGCCTGGAGAGCAGGAGAAGAAAAAAGGAGCTCTTATTGGTGGTTGTCAAGGAGATGGGCCTTGGGGTTTGCTGAACTTTCTTCCCTGAGAGCGTCCAGCCTGGAGCTGAGAAGGGCCATTTATTCCCAGGCCCGCCGCCTGGCCTCGTGGGCTGGGTGGGCGGGGTCGCCGACTCCAAGGCCGAGGGCGTCAGGTGGAGACCCCGGGCAGCCAGAGCAGGGTGGCTGCGATGCTCCCTCCCGTTGTCCCCTCCACCACCCTCAAGTGCCCACCGATGGATTGGGAAGCCCAGGCCTCACCCTCACGGGCTGCACTAATCACTGGCCAGGCAGACGGCGGCGGGAGCTCCCGGATTGTCATCTGCCACCCACCACTCTGTCGCGGACGCAGGTCCAGACCCACGAAAGCCCACTGCACAGACACTGTCCCGGGGAGTGGCCAAAAGTTCTCTAAATGCACGCGCAGTCTTCGAGAGTTTGCCCCGCTGGACTTAGTGGCTGCCGGGGCAGTGCTGGGCAGCATCAGGAGCTCAGGCAACGTGGACAGATGACCGCGTGGACGGGTGGCCGCGTGGACAAGGCGTCGTCTTCACTGCTCGCCGCACTCCGGGGCTTCTGTCCATCCCCAACCTCAGTCTGCGGTCCCTTCCTTTGCATTGCGAGGGTCCCAGCTGGAGGTAGAGGGTGCTGACCCCCACCCTCGATGCCCGGGCTCAGAACTGCAGGGTTCCGGGGCACGAGCACAGCCCGGCCCCCCGCCGAGCCCCGCACCCGCGGGCCCCACCCCCCACCTGCCGTCCGCCCCGGGGGAGGGAGTAGCCCCGAGGCCCCCGCCCATCCCCCCACCAGCCGGCCGACCGTCTGCGCCCATTGGTCGGCCTCACTCGTAGCCCCGCCCACTGAGGCCGCGGGCCAATCAGCGTGCGGCTGTCAGCCCGTCCTCCGCGCCGGCTCTGTGGCTCGGAGCGCGGCGCCCGCGGAGCGGTCAGCAGCGCGGAGCGCTCGGAGCGGCGGTGATCAGAGCGTCCCGCGCCCGGCACGCCGGCCCGGCCCGGCCCGGCCCGGAGCGAGCATGGGCGCGGCGGCCGTGCGCTGGCATTTGTGCGTGCTGCTCGCCCTGGGCGCGCGCGGGCGGCTGGCTGGGGGGAGCGGGCTCCCAGGTAAGCCGCCGGGTGGGGTGGGGTGGGGTGGGGTGAGGTGGGGAGACCGTGGTGTCCGGGTGCGGCGGAGGCGCACTCCCAGGGGTCCCCCTGACCCCGCGCCCTTGGAAACGGCTGCAACCTCCGATCTCCCCGCGCCCTCCCCGCCTCTTTGCAAAGTAACTTCTGGGGCTGGCCCGGGGCCCCCTCTCCAGCCCCCCGGCGGGGCGCAGCAGGGGCGGGGTGGGCCGAGGCCTGGGAGGGGAAGCGGGGCGGGGGGAGAAAAGGAAGCGCCACGGCTGTGGCCGAGGGGGCCTGGGTGGGGAGGGGACCAGAGCCTCGAGGGGCGCTGCCCGGGGCAGAGGGGCGCGGGCAGGAGGAGGCCAGAGCCAGCCGAGCGGCGGAGGCCAGCACGGAGGAAAGGACAGGACGAGAGAAGGAGGGAGGGGATGGGGGGACCGACGGACAGAAAAGGAGGCGCAGGGGAGCAGACAAAAGGACGCAGGAAGACGGCGGAGAAAGACCGACGCGGAGGGAAGGGAGGAGAGCAGAGGGCCAGGCGCTGGACAGCAGGGAGGGGGAGGACAGGGGGAAGCGGGGGCCGGGGTCTTCGATGCTGCCCGTGGAGAGCTGGGGACGCTGGGGACGCGGGGCCCCGGGTGGACACGGAGGACCAGGACCGGAGCGACGGTGTAGGATGCGGGGGGCAGGGAGGGGAGAAGGGCGAAGGAGCGGTCGCCAGACAGAGTGAGACGGGAGCCGGGAGAGAAGACAGACTGACGGCCACAGGAGGACAGCAGAGGGGAACAGAAGGAACCGGACCAGACATGGACCTTAGAGCGGGCAAGGGGTGGGGTGTGGGGAGACCAGGCAGAGGTGAGGATGGGGAGCACCCCGTGGATTTCACAGGGACTCCTTGCCCTCCTGCTCTGTCCCCTCCACTCCCTGGTTGTCTGGAAGTGGCTTCTAGGCAAAGGCAGCCTCACAGCCTGTCTGTGTTCGGAGGTGGCCGGGTTTCTCCTTAGCCCGACCCGAGAGTCCTGCCAGTCCCGAGCTGGGTCCCTGAGGCTGTGATGGAAATCCTAGGAGTCACCCTCGGTGTGAAGGTGTCAGGCCATTTTTCCTGCTCTAGAGTTGGGGTTGAGCTTTTGTCCCGGCCCCATCTTCCAGATGCTGAGTTTTGTGGCACGTGCCCTCCCCCACAGCCAGGTTTGTGGGTGTCTCTTCCAGGCTTTGGGGGTTTTTGCTTCCATGTGTGCCCGCGTGCACCTCTGTCTCCTGACCCCTTCTCCCTTCTATGAAAGCCCAGGAGGGTAGGTGGAAGCCTAGCAGCTGGTCCCCAGTACCAGCAAACTAAAGTCCAAGGGAACCTGTGACAGGGATCAGGCTGCCCTCCCAGGGGTCTGCAGCTCAGGCCAGGCAGCAGTGTGACCGCGGATCGTGTGTCCACCAATCCCCCCACCCAGTGAAGAATGTCTGTAAGGGGGCGCCAGACAGCCCCCCCACCCCTCACCAGCACCCCCCTTTCCTGATGTGGAGGGGAAGATTAGAAGGCTCCTGTCCCCCATTTCCATGCGCTGACCCCAGGAAGGGGTGGGAGCCATGTCTAAGATCGGATGCCCCTAGGTCGTCTCCCAGAAGCAGCCCCACCCTTGCCCTGAAGCATGTACATCAGCAGGGCACTGACCACTGGCCTTGAGTCAGTCTCATACCTGCACAAGGGCCCATGGGTGCTCCAGGAGGCCCTTGTCCATGTTCCTGCCGGTACCGCCCTGTTGTGTTTGTTGACTGCCTTGCAGCCTCTTTCCCTCATGGTTTGGCTTCTGCCCAGCACATGCAGCCACCCTGACCAGTGTATGTGTGTGCGCGTGTGTGTGTGCGTGTGTACACGTGTGAGTGTTTGCACACATGTGTGGGAATGTCGGGTCCGCTGTGTTTCTTTTACTATCTTTCTTCCTCCGGGTGTGGACTGGAGCCTTGGGCTGGGTTGGGAGCTGGGGAGAGGCACCCCCACAGGTTTAGCAGCTAGATCCCTGGCAGGGAGAGAACCCACAGTGGACATTCTTGGGGTCCCAGCGGTCTTGCATGTAGCCAGAGGGATGAGGGGTGAAGATACTCCAAGCTCTCCCTGGGGACTCGCTGGCACCACTTACCGGGGTGCTTCTGTTTATTCCTTGTATGTGATCCGTGGCCGGGCGAAGCAGCACGGCTTCCAGAGCAGCTGGCTCTGTGGTGGGCACCAGCCTCTGCCCCCAGGAGCTGCCCACCTATATCACATGCCCCTGGGCCCCATCCTTAGCAGAACCCTGAGGGGAGAGAGCTTGACTGCTGCCAAGGTCCTCCTGGCCCAGCCGTCCCTAGAAGCTGGAGGGTGAGGGCAGGTCCACACCTTGATTCCAGAGTTGGGGAAGGCAGGATGCACGTCTGTGCTCGGAAGCACAGCTGACCTGGGTTCCCTGGTTGGAGGCCTCTGCGGGCTGGGGTGCGGAAGCCAGGAAAGACTCGCATGGCCACCATCTCTGGGCTAGACTGGATCCCTAATCAGGTCAGCAGCGTCCCCCAGCCTCAGTGTCCCCATCTGTAACCCAAAGGGGCTGGATCAGAGTTCCTCCGAGGATGCTGTGGCTCTGAACTCTTGAAGCAGGAGACTAGAGGCATGTTGGAGCGCTGTTCATGGGGAGGCCAGAGCACAGGGAGGATTTCCTGCAGTTCATTTTCCCGTCTCTGTAGTGGGAAGCACAGCCACCCTCAGCAGGATTGTTGTAGAAATGGATAAGTCCAAAGGCATTGGTCCAAGGTGGCTGCCCCGAGGGTGCCACCAGTCGCCACTTTGGGACAGTTGTCGCTGATCACCCCAGTGATCAACGGAAGGGATGATGGCGAAAGCTGCCCCGTCCACGCCACTCTGGCTTCTTCCTGACCACACTTCACCTCCATCTCCGTGCCCTGCAGGAGCAGTTGACGTGGACGAGTGCTCAGAGGGCACAGACGACTGCCACATCGATGCCATCTGCCAGAACACGCCCAAGTCCTACAAATGCCTCTGCAAGCCAGGCTACAAGGGGGAAGGCAGGCAGTGTGAAGGTGAGTGTCCACCCAGGCCCGCAGCTGCCCGGAGGTGGCCAGTGCCACCATGAGTGGTGACGGCACAGGCTGCTCTAGGTCCCCCCCTGCTGCCCCCAGGAGGCTGCGGGCTGTCCCAGGATGTGGGCTGCTTCCCCGAGGGTGGATGTTGGAGACGAGACTCTCACCCAGGTTTCAGAGAGTTCTGGTTTTTAGAGAAGCTGAGCTCGAATACCGTATGTATGTACCTGTCCCTAACTGGATATGGGGGTTGGTGGAAGCCCAGGGTGATCCACTCCCCCTGGAACCCTGACTTCAAATCAAAGCCTGTAGCTTCCTCCAGGAGCCCTGGCTCAGGTCCTCTGACTCGAGTGCCAGATACTGGGTTTGTCTGTCTGTCTATCCAGCCTCTCCTTTCTGCACCTGGGGTGCTGATTTGACCACCTGGCATTAGAAACTGGCAGGGAGAAGTCAGAGAAATGAGCACTCACATGCCTGTAATCCCAGCGTTCTGGGAGGCTGAGGCAGGAGGATTACAAGTTTGAGCCCACTCTGGGCTCCTTAGTGACTTAGTGAGACCTGTCTCAAATTAAATAGTGGAGGGAGGTGCTGGGGGTGTAGCTCAGTGCAGGTCCCAATAATACCCCCCACACACAGCAGCCATAGTGCTTTTGGGACCCAGGCCCTTCCAGATGGAGCCTACGGGGATCCGTATGGTCATCCAACCCTGGGCATGTGGGACAGAGGTTTGGCCTTGGAGATGCATGTGGCCCTGGTGAAGTCACTCATCCGAGTCTTCCCTGAGAGCACCCACTATACAGACGAGGAAGCTGAGGCTCAGAAAGAAGCATTCCGTGCGGGGTCCCCAGGTTTTACAGCAACATGGCGAGGACTGGACTCCAGGCCTTCTGTCCTCCCTCGGCCATGCTCTAGCAGCTCCTTCCCTTTGTCCTGCCCCCGCCAGCTCAGGTCTTCCAAGTGCGAGTTCATGTGAGCTCAGGAGTCGGGGTGACACTGTTCAGCTGTCTCCTTCATGGAGCCTCTGCCTGCGGCTGAGCGCTGGCATGTGACACCTCCTGGGTCGCACCTGCTGTGGGCATGTGCCCTGCTCAATCGCTCAGGGCCCAGAAGGTGGTGCCCACCCAGGAGGAGGCCAGGCTGCAGGCCAGGAGAGCAGGGAGTGAGTGAGGGGCCGGGTGGGTGGGTGGCCTGGCCCCTGGCAGCGCCTGGAGTCGGCCAGGGGAGGCTGCAGGTGAGCACTGTCTGACCCTCTGCTGGCCCCCAAACCCAGCCCCCCTGCACGGGAAGGCCAGGAAAGCCAAGGCTGACCTTCTGGCTCTGCCAGTGTAGGGTGCCAAGCTGACCCCTACATCCCCGATCCCAGCCTCTCAGGCCCATGCCTGCCTCTCCTGGCCCCTCCAGAGTCCAGCAGGAAATGTTACCTTTGCCCATCGTGGAGTTTGCATGAGATGAGCCCTTGTGAGATGCCCAGGGAGGGGTGCTGTGGGGAGCATGCAGTCCTGGGCCAGGGAGGCCCCTTCTTGCATGGTGTACTTGTGACCCATGTCAAGCCTTGAGTGGCAGCCCACTTCTGCCGTGAACGCCTGGCAGGTTGCCCTCACTGAGCCTCAGTTTCTCCTTTGGCTTTGTGAGCCCACGCTGCTCCCCACCGCAGCTCAGCCTGAAGACTAAGACACAGCACTGTGTCCTGGGGACCCGCCAGTCCCAGTGCGTGGCTCGAGGTGCTGTGTGTGGGACCATGTGCAGCTGTTCATGTTGTTACAATCCCTGCAGTCCCTGCCACCCCACCCTCACTGGTCCTCGCTGCCTCTCAGCGGCTGCAGCCCCAAGGGGGTGATGAAGGCTGAAGCTGTGTGACATCCCGCAGGGCTGGGCACCTGGGAGGTGACCGTCGTGGTACGACCCAGTCCCTGCCCCGCAGGAGCTTGCCGGCTGGTGTCACTGCGGACTGAGATTATGTGTCAGCAGCAAGTCTTCGTGCATACGTTTAGGACGTTGGTACCAAGAGCAGCCTGCGCGTGCCCTCAGCTGTCTGTTTATCGGCCGTGGGACAGATGCTTAGTGCCTGGTTCCTGGAGCATAAGGGTGACTTGAGTGAGGGTAATCAAAGCCTTTGAACACAGCCTGCCGGGGTGCTGTCACCGTGCTGATGAAACGGCAGGTGAAGGGGACTTCGGTGCTGAGGTTGTGTTGCTCGTGGCGACGGTGATATCTGTGAGGAGGAGGGCGACGGTGCTGATGGGGATGTGGGTGATGGCGGTGGTGACCGTGAGTGAATCCTGATGAGTTGGTCATCATAAGACTGTTCAGTGTGTGGAAAAAAACAAAAGGTGAGCTGTGTCTTCCCGAGGATCCCCTGGGCCTAACCTGGCAGGAAGTGGGGCACTCCGTAATGAACCCTGTGCATGCATCCGTATCCCCGTGGAGACAGACATCTGTGCCTCTTGCATGTAGCCACCTACTAAGAAGACCCAATTAAAAATTCATGGGCGGGAGGCTTCCCTTTGTGCTCCCGCAGCAGACATCAGTAATCGATCGTCACACCATCCAGGCACTTCATTTGGAGGTACAGGAAACCCGTTTTCTTCCTCTGGACTCCTGCATCTGCAGCCCTTGAGCTGGTGTGGGGCTCTGCAGGGGCTGGAGTTTTAGGGGGACTAAGTCCCCTGTCCTGTAGAGCTCAGAGACTGCTGAAGACTGCAGTGAATCCAGAGGGGTCACGGCAAAGCGTTCCTTGAGAGCCGGTGGCCCTCACCCCAGTCCTTCACAGGAAGTGAGGTTGGGTTAGGGGCCCTTAACTGTGTCGCCTTGGAGTTTCTGCTCGTCCTGAAACCCCCGTAGCAAATCCAGCACCCAGGGCAACCCGCCTCCATCCTGGGGGTGGATTTTAGTGCAGCTTCCATGGGACAGGTGACCTTGGTGTGCACAGCTTTGTGGAGGTGCAGCCTAGCACCCGTGGGGGGCTGGCTGTGGCAGGCAGAGCAGCTCGGAACTCGGGTAAGGCTGTGACTGAGGTGGGGGATACGTCCAGGTGTCCTCGGTGATTCACTTCTTAGCCGAACTGGAAGTCACTTGGGGTAAGCACATGCGTATGCAGACTTGAAAGAAACTTCACCATGTTTGGCAGGGAACCGTCTTAGTCTTCCTCTCTAGGTCTGTCCCCACCTCCATGGTAGCCCGTCACGCTGCATTGAGCTTTTCCTGGGCTCCCTCCTGGAATGCGGGTTCCTCTGGGGCACAGCCCATGACCTGATCCGCTCCCAGGCACCCAGCCGGGAGTGGAGGGCTTCCGCCCAGGGAAAGGATGGGGTGTATCCTGAAGGTCATCACCTCCGGGAAGCCCTCCCTGTGCACGTCCCTCCTCAGAGCCCCTGTGCCTAGGTTTTGTGATGACCTGTGTGGCTGCTGGAGGGCAGGCGGGGTGTCAGATTTGCCAGAGAAAACTGGGTCCAGGAAGTCAGCCTGCTGCCAGGTGTCCCAGCTGACAGGTGCAGGGCTGGATTCCAACCCCACACTGTGACGGCAAACCCCCAGCAGCCTGTCTGAAGGCATGAGGAAGGGTTCCCATCACTACACAGTGATGGAGCAGGCTGTAATGACCCTTTCATATCTTCCCAGCTGGCCCCACCTCCTTTGAGACAACTCCTGTGAATATGGGCTAGAATTGTGTCACTCGTCCCCGAGCTCAGCAGTGATGTCCCTCCGGCTCATCCGTGCACTCATCTCTCCCACACTGAGCTGTTTCTTTATCCTTCCCTCCCTAATCTCACCCCAGAAGCACTGTCTTGTCTTAGTCCCTCAGATTTGCCAGATCCTTCCTACCCCAGGGCCTTTGCACATGCCCTTCTTCTGTCTCTCTTCCTTTGGCTAAACCTGTGCATCCCTAGCTCACCCAGCCCCTTGAGAAAGGGCCTTTGGAAGCCATGAAGGCCAGCTTGCACTGGCCTCCTGGTCTGCATTAGGCAGGCCTGTTTGTGCTTATTCTGTTAGAGGGGCAGCCTGGGGTGAGGACGGAGCATTTCATTCTCTTTAAATACTTCAACTCATTTAACCTTAATTGCCTTGTTTTCATAGACATTTGCTAAGGAAAAGGACCAAATTATAGCTTGAATTGGGTCTTGCTAATCTTAATTAAAAGCTCTCATTTATAATCAAGACCAGGCCTCAAACGAGGAGCAAACCACCCTCCAATGGCTTGTTTAAACCACGGAGACCCTCTTGCTAATAACTGTTTAGTCTGAACCGGCAGCTCTCATCACCCCTTCTATGTGGACTTAATTTTTTTGACCATTTATTCAAGTGGATATTCCACTTGCAAATTCAACTCGGGCCTCTTCCAAAATGCTATAATTAAAACTCTTAGGGGAAATAAGTTTTTGTTTTGGCCACCGTATATTAAATGTATTACTATTTTCCTTTCTGTGTATGTGTTTGTGTGTGTGTGTGTGTGAGAAGAGGAAAAATGACAACCTTCTGGGCATCAGAGATCACAAAATGAGCATGTATGAGATGAATGTAAACAGTCACTTCCTGAATGTTATGTCCCCGGGGCCTACTTGTCAATCACTGAAGGCAGGCAGATTACAGACTGTGTCATTAAAGTGTTTTCACAAAACTCCTAATAACCTACCGGCCAGCCATTTAGTTTAACATCAGAAAAAAGAAGAAAAAAACCCCTGTAAACCCATCAGCCTTCCTCGGGAATAATGTCCGTGACCTTATTAAATCATTTGCATCACCATTACCGCGTGCTTTATTGAAGTCCAGATAAACTTCTGCTTCGGGGGAGGCCAGGACAGGCAGTGGGAGGTAGGCTGGGGGTGGCCCCAGGAGGAAATTCCCCTTCAAGTCTTAAAACATGCAATTAGCCACGCTAACCTGTGCTCTGCCCAAGATGAAAGCGCGCAAGTCCAGCATGCTGGTGGACCGGAAGCGAGTGGACGTCACTTAAAAACTCAAAGATGCTGTCCGCTGGCAACTAGCTGGTGTGGCTCGGAACC